ATAATGCTCCAATCAATTAGAGATAATTGTTCCTTAAAAGATTTAAGTTTTCATTTGTAAAAATTCGCTTTTTGAAAGCTCGTTTTTCATTAGGAACTAATTTATTATCTATATTTATTGAAAATTGGAAAATGATCAGATATCTTTTTAAATTATGCCCTTTTTTAATGATTCGTTAAAAACATCAGTGGTTAAAATATTATCAATTAAAGAGGCACTTGATTGAGTAGTTCTTGTCGGTTTGCTAATCAAAGGAATCGCACCATTTTCAAAAATGCCATTATAAAACCTTTTAATGTTATTATTGACGTGGTATTGAAAACAATCTAAATTCAGATCACCTACTAAGTAGATAAATTTATTTTCGTGGTTACTTTTTTTAATAACGTCATTACATAAAAACGAATTAAATTTTTTAATTTCACCTGAAGGTGAGCGATAACAACAACTTAGAATTTTATTTTTTATTTTATTGGTTGAAATTTCAATCGTTTAAACCTCTTTATCAGCATCAGAGGGTTCTAGGAAAAAATCCACTGGGAAAAAATCCCCCCGGAAAAAATCCCCCCAAAATAATCCTGAGAGAAAAAATCCCCCCGAGAAAAAATCCCCACGGGAAAAATCCCCCCGGGTAAAAATCTCCCCGGAAAAAAATCCCCCCGAGAAAAAATCCCCCCGGGAAATATCCCCCCAAAAAAAGAAAAATTTTTTTTACATAAAAATTATCAATATGCAGTTATGGTTATTTCTTTATTTATTTTAAATATTTATATAAAATACTTCATTTTTCTTAAAAATGTGCTATTCCTCGAAAGTAGCGAATGTGAAACCCTAACCCTAACCCTAACCCTGAGGAACTGCGAACTGGTAAAATGTGAACTTTTTTGCGAACCATCGTAGTTAATTTAGCGGTATATTTTAAGGACTTTTAAGCGAAAAAAAATATCAAAAAAAAATAAAAGGAAATTAAGTGAAACTAGACGAAAACATTATGAAAAAAAATATATATTTTTTAATTATTCGATAGACTGCCTGCCCAACCCAAACCCTCAGTCGATGTAGCAGCACTCCGTTGCGAGTCAGGCTATTTGTCAGTCGATATAGCAGCACTCCCTTGCAAGTCAGGCTATTTGTCAGTCGATTTAGCAGCACTCCGTTGCGAGTCAGGCTATAAGATAGTCGATGTAGCAATACTCCGCGCATGTTTTACAGTTAAAAAAATAAAAATTTTATTTTAAATAAAGCTTTAAAATAGAATATAAGGAACTAGAGAGTTTTTTTTTTTATTATTTTTTACCGACAACCGAGAAATAGCGCATAACCATAAAGCGCATAAATGAAAATTTTGATGAAAAATGTTTTTTATAAAACTATTTAAGATAAATAGTTTTATAAAAATGAAAAAAACTTTTTTCATCAAAAATATTTTGATGAAAAAAGTTTTTTATAAAACTATTTAAGATAAATAAATATAACTATTTTATTGATAACTTTTATGTAAAAAAAATTTTTTTTGGGGGGATATTTCTTGGGGGGATTTTTTCCAGTTGGGATTTTTTCTCGGGGGGGGGGGGGTATTTTTTCTCGGGGGATTATTTCAGGGGGATTTTTCCCCGGGGGATTTTTTCCTGTTACCCATCAAGAGATGCTCATGTCATGCCGGGTAAAATATCGTAAGTTATTTTTAACATAAATAAGAACGCCTCCGCCACGCTTATTTGTTTTTCGTGCTAATGAAATTATATTAAAACCCGACAGTTTAAAAATGATAAAAAAATTTACGTCAACCATGTTTTTGTTAAGCAAATTATATTGAATAGATTACAAGTTTCTTCAATAAAATTACTAAAGATTTCAAATTTTTTTTTTAAACTGCGGATATTAATGTGAATTGTGTTAATATAATCTCCTTAAAACATTTCAAGGAATTGATGTTAAAGAGACTGGTCTGTAGTTTGAAGTCAGTAACATATTGCCTTTCTTAAAAACTGTCGTTATATATTTTTTCCTTCATCTATAGGGCATGTTGCTGGTGCTAAGTGAAAGGGCATAAATTTTTTCCAAAGGTAAAGCCATACTTGATGAGCAGTTTGAGAGGACTTGTTGGTGGATACCTTCAATACCAGGGGACTTATTCAGATCAAGTGCTTCATGTCTTTTGATGTGCTTATGATTAAAAAATTGATCAGGGATTTTTTTGCATTGTACTTTGGTGCGATTCTTAAAATATAATAGCCTATCTGATGATTCGACAACAAAAACAAAAATGAAAGAACTTATTTAAAACACTGCAAATAGATTCGCCTTTAGTTATGATTATTCCATCATTGTTTTTAAAAACTTAGATGGAGTCTTATGCATTTATTTCTTTTTTGAAACATAAAAATGAAAATGATCTTGCTTTTGAACAATGGTTGCTTCATATTCCAAAACTGCTTTCTTTATCACTTTTTTTCTGTCATATTAGCGATTTATGCTTTAATTTTAATTTGTCGCGAGCAAATTTTCCAGCAGATTAGTATTTGGTCTAGAGCTCTCATTTTAGTCGAGTTTTACATCATTTGTTATCTAGAAATAATTTAGATTTTTTGGTATACATCGAACATACACAATATTATCTAAAAAAAAATTCCTAACAATCATTTGCTGAAAAACCGGCTAATAAGTTACTCCATTTTATTGTCTCAAAAAATTCATCTCAAAATTAAATTCAAAGTTCTTCAACAGCGGTTCTCGGTGACAAGACCTGTATGGTTTTGTTTGAGTATCCGCGTTCTTTATCTTTATTCTTTTTTTTTTTAAACGGTTTCTTTGCATGTAATTTTTCTTATTGATATATTTGTAAATATTGTATTAAATATTGTAATAAAGAACAAAATATATATATATATATATATATATATATATATATATATATATATATATATATATATATATATATATATATATATATATATATATATATATAGACACACACACACACACACACACACACACACACACACACACACACACACACACACACATATACACACACACAGTTTGTTTAGCTTTTCAAAATTTAGTTATTAAGTGCGTATCGTTATACGCACTTAATAACCAAATTTTTTTTCAAAATTTAAAATTTAAAAAAAAAACGAATGTCTCTTTTTTGAAAGCTTTTTATGCAACAGACACCGAACAAAAACAGAATTGAATTAAAATTACGAAAAATCGAAAACTAATAAACTTTCACTATTTACTCAGGTTTGAAACAAACTAATTATTACTTTCAAAACTTTTTGCTTTAATGATAAAATTTCCATGAAGTTATTTTGATAACAAGTAAATGTTTAAATAGTATAGGTTAGTAATTACTCACTTACGTAATCAATATCTTTATATATAAACATGTAATCAATTTCTTAATATAGTTTTAATTTTTTATATAGATAATCTGTTTCTTTGAACTTAGTTGACTCATATTTTTAGCGATCGATGTGTTGCAGCGCGATTATGATATTTTTAGTGATTGATACAATCAAAAAGTTGTGTTCTTACGCTAGTTTAGTTAATTTAAAACTTATACAGATTGCACATAATAAAATCATTAATTATAACTTTACGTCATGAAATTTTATTAATTTGAATGCTATAAATATGTAAAGGGAACTTATTAAACGGGGAAAAATTTATTTCGCATACAAGGAAAAAAAATTAATCAATATTCCCCATATTGTTTCGCAATAAATTTTATCACGGAAAGTATATTAAGTCAGAAGGAAAATTTATTATGGGGAATTTATTTCGTGACACCGGCACTCACCTTTATAATCAAAAAACCGGCGCCAGCACTAACCTTCATAATGATAAATTAGGCTACTAATTTTTTTTTGAGAAAAAATTGTTGTAATAAGAATAGCATACACTTATGTCAAATGATTTTTTGTTAATTTTCAAAAGATGAATTATTAGCTTTGGTGACATTTCAATCAAAAAATGTAACCAGGGATCGTGGTAGCATTTAGTCGGTTTTAAAGTGTTTTTATCTTTATACCAAATGAGAACAATGATATATTATATAACTAGATGTCTAACTTGCGGGATTTTATTGGACAAAAAGTGAAGCCGCTTTTTTTTGTTTATAACAATAGTCCGCCATTTGTAAAAAGGGCAAAAGCTGAAGCCGAAGTGTAGAATAAAAGTTAAAAATGGACGTCAAAAGTTACCAATAAATTAAAGATAATTCAAAAACACGTTTTAACAATTATAAAATACTTTTAAAATTTTTTTTATGAGCCTATGTTTATTAAAAAGTATTTTAATTCATAAAAATGCTTTAAAAGCGTCTATTGTTTTACTTTTCTATTCAAAACTTTAATACCTTTTTAATCGAAAATAAATTAAGGAATCATAAATTATCATTTTACAAGTATTATAATTTATTTACTTCATTTAAGAAAAGAAAAGTTAAAAATATTTGTTTACAAATTTAATCCGCCATTTGTAAAAAGGGCAAAAAGCGGCTTCACTTTTCGTAAAGAAGACATCTAGTTATATAATATATCATTGAATGAGAATGCTTCATAAAAATATAACACTAACTAGAGCCTGGGAACAAAAAAGCCACAAAACCTGCGCGTTCCGTAACCTCAAACGTGAAGACAATAAGTTAATAAATTTTATACTGTTGCTATTAATATATTCTACAGACTTTAAAGTTCATCTGATATCATTTTAGTATTCTAAAGTTATGATCAAGATGGCCAAAAAGAATTTATATTGAAATACTTTATTTTGACAAACATGAACTCAAATGAAGTCACCAAAAAGCTGCGATTCTTGGTTTTGACATTTAAATAAAAAGTTGTAACCGATAGCTTAGGCAACATTCAAATCAAAAGACATAATGGGTTTGATAACATTTACATTTAACTAATTTTTTTTAATGTAAATTTTTGGTATTTTTACTTAATAGTCAAAGTTTCGATAGATAATTTAAAATAATAAAACAGAATAAATAACATATTCAGTAATTTAATTATATAAACTTGAATATTTTTTAAGTATAAATATTTAACAAAATTTTACATATCCTAATTTCTTTCAAGTCTCTCAATGTTTTATTTTAATAAAACATGGTAACTTAAGGTGGAATGCCAAAAGCGAACTCGAGTGAAGTTCGACTTGAACTTTGAAGTCTGACTTTCTCAAGTTAGCCTTCAAAAATTAACTTTGAAGCAATTTTTGCTTTTTCAAGTAGCATTTTTAAGTTTAACTTGAAAACGGTCGGTTTTTAAGTATAACATGAGTTTAAGTTTGCTCTACACATTCACTCAAGTCGAATTTTATGTTTGAAGTATGACTTCAAATTTCAAGTTTGCTTCTTGCATTCCACCCTTAATATCTTTATATCTTTATAGATTATCAATTAATATTTCTTTAAAATAAAAGTTTAAAAACTTTCACTGTTTTCGTTTTCATCACCCTCATCCATTATTTCTTCATCATCCACCTTAAAATTGAATTATACATTTTTAATATAGAAATTGTTGAATTTACTTTATTTAATGTTTGTGTGTTACACAAAATATAATTAAAACTTAAATACCTCAGTTGCCGACTCATCATCTGCAATGCTACTTTCTACCTGAGATGAGATCTCGTTGCCTTTTAAGTCACGATTTTTTAGATTGCCTAGCCAAAATGCATTTTCGCAATTATTGTAGGCAAGCAAGGCCTATAAATATTAAAAGCAAATGAAACCCAAAGTGCTCTAGTGCATAATTTAAAGAAACAAATTTTGAAATGAGTTTTTTCTTCACTTACTTTTACTCTGTATACGAAGGTTTCCAAACATTTCTTTAGGGCTGGGACAAATGCAGTTAGTGATGAGCTTTTTTCAAACTTTGTATGACCACACAAGTGTTGCAATAAGCGTGTACTTTGTTGAAGATTTTTTAAAATTGCATGAACTAGGTCCTGTATTAAAATAAAACACAAAGTCGCATGTTATACTTTATCACATGTTATATTATGTTATATCTTACAGCATGTTATACCTTATCGCATGCTATATCTTATGCTATATCTTGTCGCATGTTATATCTTATGTTATATTTTATCGCATGTTATATCTTATGCCCAATGATATATTATATAAACTAGATGTCTAACTTGCGGGATTTTATTGGACAAAAAATGAAGCCGCTTTTATTTGTTTATAAATATATTCCGCCATTTATAAAAAGGGCAAAAGCTGAAGTTGATGTCAGTAATAAAAGTTAAAAATGCGAGTTAAAAGTTTCCAATAAATTAAAGTTAATTCAAAAACACGTTTTAATAATTAAAAAATACTTATAAAAGTTTTTTTATTTTTATTTATTATCTTATTATTTATTATAATTCATAAAAAAGCTTCAAAAGCGTCTGCTGCTTCACTTTTCTATTCATCCCTTTTCAATTGAAAACAATTTAGGAATCATAATTTATTATTTTACAAGTATTCTAACTTCCTCTAAACACTTTTACATAAATATTTATATTTAAAATATATTTACTTCATTTAAGAAAAAAAGTAAAATAATATTTGTTTACAAATTTAATCCGCGATTTGTTAAAAGGGTAAAAGCGACTTCATTTTTCGAATTGAAGTTAGACATCTAGTTTATATAATATATCATTGCTTATGTCTTATCTAATGAAAAAAAGTTAACAAATTTCACAAAAATCTGATTTTTGTCAGAGCTATTGTCGAAATCCAATGATAATTCTTTCTTTATACTTTCTTTTTAGTTGATTTATTTTTCTTTTCTTCAACATCTTGCTGATGTTTAAAAAAATGTATTCCACTTAAAACAATCGGTGTTTTAACAAACCTCCATAATAGCTTTATCATCGTATTTTTTGGTGTTTCAGCATTTTTTAAAAGTCTCAGACAAAAAACAACTTAGATAACAAAATAAAAATCTATTTATTATAAAATCATTCAGTTTTTTGCAATTTCAAATTTAAATTCAAATATTGCATAGTTAAAAAAAAAATATGCCATACCGATAACTTTTTAGCTGTTTCCATGTCGAAAACTTTTTAGCTGTTTCCATGCCAATAACTTTTCAGCTGTTGCTTTAATTTATTTAAGTTAGTCAAAGTTTTCATTAACAACCTTAAGATCTCTTTTTAAGTTAAATTCTCAAAAAGCAATGAAAAAGTTGTTTAGTAAAAATAAAAAAACACACAAAATTTAATGCCTTCAATAATTCGAGCAGAAATTTTTTTAAATAAAAAATTACTTAGTTTAACTTTTTTTTTATCTAAATTTATTTGGAAACTTGATTGACAATACTACTTTCAAAAGCTCCAATTGTCACAAAGTGTAAGAGTAAGGTGCAAAAACATTCAAATTTTTTTATGTGGAAAACTGTTGTATGGTGACTTATACCAGCTTTTTTATAATAAGGTCAAGGATTAGCAGTAACTGGGTAAAAAAAGTTAATTTTATCACAGTAACAAAAAAAGTGAAACATTACTGTGATAAAACTAACACCAGTGAAATTTTTTTTAATAGTAAAGGATGATTGCAAAAAAATCGTTACTGCTTGATATTATCTATTTCAACATACAATTTTTTTTTATATGTATTTAAAATATCTATAAGAAATCTCTTTTCCATACAGAACTTGCTGAAGATATCTAAAACTTGAAATACTTTCTACACATCACTCATATTAGAAAGTGATTCGCTCAATCTGGTGGTTTTTATTACTGTTTTGTCTCCTTAAATCAAAAAAAGTGTGACTAGTCAGTGAAATATATATATTACCTTTTGCAAACGAAGAGTCTTTTCAAGGAAAGGCATTGCATACTTTAAAAATGTTTCAAGATAAATCCGTGAGTACTGTAAAAAATAATACAAACACAGGGAAAAAATTGTACACAATACAATTAACAAAACTATATGAATCTGTGAATGTTAAAAGGGCGAGAGTAACATATTTTACAAAATTGACTTTTTTGCAAATTTGTATATTCAAAGGATAGCTTCATCATTTTGTGTTAAAAAGGTGTCTGTCAAAAGTTCTCTCTAGCCTGTACAGTGTCTAAAAGTTTTGGTCTTTTGTTAAAAGGGCTGCTCTTTTAACAAAAAATAAGAACTTTGCGCTGAAGACAGCAGACCAAACGTAACCTAACTTTGTTGTTTTAATTGTACAACTGCGTGGTGAATAAAGTTGATTTATTACATTTGATCATTTTAATAGTGAATTAAGTTGATTAACTGCTTTTTTAAATGGGTGATAGTGGTAGTGAGTCTGATCATACAAGTTATAAAAATAATATAAGAAACCCAGATAATTATAAAAGGAACAAGATTAAGAAACCTAGGCTTACTGGTGTGGCATATGAAAACCACAGCGGACAAAAAGTTAATGCTAAGTCTATCAAAGATCCATGCAGGTAAGAGATACTACACAATAATTCTTAATTTAATAATAGGTCTATGCCAAATTGTAATAATTTGTCTAAAATATAGTCAGATTTAGGCTCTGTAATTAATAATTGGCCTATAGACCTAGGTTGTTGATTGCTTGTTTAGGTTGTAAATATTTGTAGGCCTAAGACAATAGAGTGACATTTTTAGGGTAGTCTAGAATCACTTATCGTATTTTAACTTGAACTCTATTTTGTTTCCTAGACTAGATTACCTATAATTTTTTTTACAATGTAAAACTGCAACATAGTGCTTTTTTTCAGTTGTTCAAGAAAGTGTTTTCAATCTATTGGCAAAGAAATTCACCTCGATGATGCATTTATAAACTTCTACAGCCAGTTCAATACAAAAGATGAGCAGGAATAATTTTTGCATGACTTGATTGATGTTACGGATATTATGAGGAAGAGGCCTGGTTCAAGAGATAGTAAGGGAAAAAGTCGTGATGCAAATGAAGATACTATACTAAAAAAAAAAGTAATGATGGAAACAAAAAGGAATTTAAGTATCATGTTTTGATTGGAGATGAACAAGTACAGGTATGTGTTGTGGCATTTTATCAATATTTCCTGTGACAGAAAAAAGGGTTCGAAGAGTAAGAGGTTCAAAAATGGATGGAAAAGCAGTTAAAGATTTGAGAGGAGTACACACAAGTTGCATGACCATACTAGCTAAGGTATACGCTCACATAGACTCCTTTCCAAAAAAACTGATCCACTATGGCTACACTATGGGCTATACTCCACTATACTATATAGAAAGGAAAGGTATTTTTTGAGTGAAGATTTGAACGTGAAATTAATGTATGAACTATTCATGAAAAAAAATAAAGGGGTAAAGTTCAGTTACAAGTCCGATTATAAATATAATTGGACATGTAACTGAAAAATAGATGATATACAGGTGTCTACTTGATGTTTCGGGCAACATCAAGTAGACACCTGTTGCATATGTGAAGAGTTAAAGCTAAAGATAAAATCTTAATGAAGTTGCTAAGCAAACAGCAGTAACTGAGTTGGAAGTACATAACAGATGGGCAAAATTTTTTTACCAAGCCATAAAGCAAGATGTAAAGGATGCAAGGGAAGAAAAAAATGTAAATGTTTTGTCCCTAGCCATAGATTATATGTAAAACATTTCACTGCCCAAAATACCTGTGCAAGAGATATTTTACCTAAGGCAGTTAACAGTTAGTGTATTTTCTATTCATGATGTGAAGAGAAATATTGCAACACTCAACCTTTATCATGAGGGACAGGCTAGAAAGTCTCCAAATGAAAGTTGCTTTTTTCTTTTGCACTACCTGTCTACCTGTCCTCAAGAGTATGATGAACTCAACTTTTATGTCAATATTTGTGGGGGCAAAATAAAAACCACTGCTTTTCAAAACTTTTTATGGCGCTTATTATGACAATAAATGGATAAAAAGGTCAACCAATTTTTCCCAATCAGAGGGCACAGCTTTTTGCCCTGTGACCATAACTTTTCGATTATAAAAAGTTAAGAAGGCATAACAGAGTAAACAGCGTTCAAGAAATAAAAAAAATTATATTAAAAAGCAGTAATCAAAGAAAGTTTTTAATGGTTGATGTAGAGAGTTCACGATGTTAAAAGTTGGTGGCCAGTCCAGAAATGTTACCTCAATTGAAACAATTGGTAAATCCAGAAACCAACAAACTCAGTTTGCAATAAGCACATTTAACCATTTTCAATACAATTGTGACAACATAGGTCAATGTAAAGCCAGTGAAATTATCAGTGGTATTATCAAACATACTTTTTTGATGATAAAAATACTCAAAACAAAGTGAACCTGCCAGAACAGTTTCTTTACCCAAACAAAAAAGTTCCAATAAAATCTGCTAAATTGAATGACTTAAGAAAGCGTATTAAGTATATCCCACATTATCATATTGATTTTTATAATGAACTATTACAATGGCCTAGAGCAGAAAGCAACAATGGAGAAGCAGAAGATGCTGGGGGAAATTGATTAAGAATAGCTGATAAAATTTCTGTAATAGACCTTTTTTTCCTTATAATTTTTGTTAAAATGTATAAACAATTCATATATATACAATTTGTGAAGATTTATTGCAGTTAGTGACATTATTTTCTATTGTCCAAAATTAAAATCATAAAGAAATAAGCAGTAAATATTTGTTAAATGTTAAAAGGGCTGAAGTCCACAGTGTTGATTGGTTTATAGGTTCTTTAAAAATAAATATAAAAAAATATGTTTGCTTTTAAGATGAAAAACATTATCCTCTTCAAAAAAAAATTGTTAAACCATTAGGAAAAATTTACTAAGGAGGTATTGCTGTGTTATTTTAGTTTCTTAAAAGTTTACATTGTTGGACTTCTGCCCTTTTAACATTCACAGATTCATATTAAAAACAGAAGAGCAGCCAAAATGTTCTAAGTTACTACTTTCCAGGGTTGTACGGTTTTTAGTAATAATTAAACTTTAGGTAATTATTTAAAGATCTGAAAAATACCTATTTCTTTCTATTGGGAATTTCAAAAAAAAAAAAAAAAAAAAAAAAAAAAAAAAAAAAAATTGGTCTTTTGAAAAAAAGTGTGTGGGAGGGAACAGCTCTGTAAATGAGATATATTTATATGAAAATAATGAAAATATTATTGTCCATCTCTGAAATCAAGATACTTTATCTGTGTTATCTCTGCTTCAATAATATAAAATATGTTGCACATGAAATTACATTTAAAACTATCTTTTCAGCAGATATAAAATAAAATGCAGTACAACACTAACATTATATTGTCAAACTTTTAAAAATATTTTGATGAATATAATTTTTTATATTGATATGTGTATAATATACTTATATGCGCTTAAAAGGGTTTTTGACACTAAGAATTTTAGCAAAAATAGTAAAGCTAATAACTTACTTTTAATGCAGAACCCAATAAAGCGTGACTCTCTGTATTCTATAAAAACAAAATTTAATTTCTAAAATAGTTATTAAACATTAACAAATGAATTAAATGTTAAAAACACAATGATGTTATAATTAATTTTTTTCATTATTTCTCTTGTTTCTCTTTTTTGTCTGAAAAACTGTGAAGATATATATTATATTTATTTTTCTTTATATATTACATTTATTTTTCTTTATATATTACATTTATTTTTCTTTATATATTATATTTACTTTCCTTTATATATTATGTTTATTTTTCTTTATATATAATATTTATTTTTCTTTATATATAATATTTATTTTTCTTTATATATTATATTTATTTTTCTTTATATATTATATTTATTTTTCTTTATATATTATATTTATTTTTCTCATATAATTTGATTATTTTTCATTATATATTGTATTTATTTTTCTTTATTGTTGTATTTTGAATTAAAATCATATTCTGGGTTTGTTAAGTTGAAAAATTAAAAATAAATTTTTTTGGGACAGGCTGTCATTGATAGAGATTAGATTTTGTTTAATACTTTGCAGAGGAGATGGTTAGATTTAGAATATAAAGTAGTCGGTTGTTTAGTTTTTTGAATGGATGACATGAGTTTTTTCAAGATTAAAAGATATATCTAGAAAGTTTGAGGTGGATAGATTTCTCTCAATTTTTATTCGGAAGTTAATTGTTTTGAAATCTTCTGTTATACTTTTTTTAAATTTTCTCTATTTGTGTGCCAGATTTTTTGCATATCATCATCAGTTTGCCATGATGGTAAAGGACCATTTTACAACAGTTTTAGTGAATTATATACATGCAAACCTACCATCTGTTTTTCCGCAATGAAGAAGAAAAAATATTCACCTAACAAAATTCAGACATTACAATGGGCTGCTTTAGTTGGTAGATTTGTATCTATTCAATCCACTAAATATGTAGCATCCTTAAAAACACCAAACAAAACATATTATTTAAAAACTTTGGCATATAAAATTCGCCAAATGGTCACACACGAGCAGTGAACACCTGAGGGAAGAAATGAAGTACATTAGAATAAAGGAGAATTATTTATTAGACAAAGCATATTTTGACAGTTGTCAAGACAAAAATAAAGATTAATCGAGGAGTATTTAAAAATAAATAAGACAGGCTATACACCCACAACAATAATAACAACAAAAATAAATTAAAAAAAAAAAAAAAAAATTGTAAACACCAATATGATAAATTATAAACACCAATATGAACGAAGATATACATCACCAGACAAAAACTTATAAAACAAAAAACCGATCACAAAATAAAAAATATACTAACAACAATGAAAGGCATTTAATAATGGAAAAAAAACATTAATGCTAATGTGTAAACATAATTTGTGTAGTGATTAAGTAATAAACATCTCCTCAGAGTCGCATCTAATATTACTGGCATTTCATCATCGCCACTTATGCTTTACCCCGCGACTTACACCTATTCCATACTGCAGTAAAAAAGGACTCACTACAAATAGCCAAAACCCAACCAACCCCAAATTTGTAAAGCACCAATATTTTTTTGATGATATGATATAAAAAATGTAGATTTACTGAACAAACAAAAATAACTAAATAGAACACTTACCATACCACCAAAAGAAAACATGAGAACAAAATAAATTAAAATTCTAATAGAAACATAAAAAAATTCATAAATTTATTTTAAGAAATAAAACCAAATAGGTATTATTAGCATAAACAAGCCTAAGATAATCAATCAGAAAGCAGTATACCTCATTAAAAAATTTTTTTTTAATCAACAAAACAACAATAGCTTTAAATAAACTCTAACGCTGTCATAGATACCTCATTCGAAATATGACAACCAATCAAAGGAAAATGAGCATCCCGCGAAACCCAAAATCATAACAATAATTGAAAAATATATGATAGCGAAAAAGAACGTTGCACAAAAACCTTAAAAATGTAAGCGGTATATATGTAAACATTTAATAAAGGATATAAAGATATTCTCTGAATAATAATAAAGATGAAAAATGTGCATGTGAAAATTAAAACAAAGCTGAACAATGAATGCAACAAACAGTAATAATATGAAAATCAGGAGATAAATAATATATCAACAAACACTGCAACAAGACTAACTAAATATTGCAATAAAACCAGATAATTTTAAGCCAAATGAGTGGTTTAAAAACTCACCGTGGGTAATATAACAATGATATAAGTCGTAATGTAAAAACGATGTACAAAGCGGGAAAAAAATTATTAAAAAGTGAAGTTATTCTCTACAGTCCGAACTAAAAGAAACTTTGAGACCATATCTAAATCAAAATTTCCGAAAAGTAATATTTCCTCTACGGTCCAAATTAAAAGTAACTTTTAATTCGAACCGTAGAATTAAAAGAACCAAACCTACTATCTGTTTTTCCGCAATGAAGAAGAAAAAATATTCACCTAACAAAATTCAGACATTACAATGGGCTGCTTTAGTTGGTAGATTTGTATCTATTCAATCCACTAAATTCATAGCATCCTTAAAAACACCAAACAATTGGTTGAATAGATTCAAAAAAGAGATAATTACAAACAAAAACATTTTTTTTACACATTTTTTTTTTTTTTTTTTTTTTTTTTTAAACATCTTCACTTCCAACAAGGCTGCAAGCAACCACTATAAGAGTTGGAAGTTACTGGAAGAGAAAAGACTAAATCTGTAGAGCAAGATAACGATTGACTGATGACTTAAAAGATTGCAAATTATATGAAACAGGAAAGCAAGATGAAGGAAGCGAATTCCAAAGAACTGATGTTCGAGGAAAAAAACTAGAAGAATAAGAGTTTTTGAAGCACTTAGGAACAGTCACAGAAAAAGGATGAGACTTAATTGAATGGCGAGTAACACGAGAATGAATTTTAGTAGATGGCACAAGGGACGCTAGCTCTTTAGAGCAGTGCCTATTATAGTATTTGTAGAAAAGAGAAAGAGAAGCAACATTACAACGATGTGACAAAGGTTGGAGATTGGCTGCCAGAGCAGGTCCAACTATGTTTACAATTCGTTTTTGCACCTTGTCTAAAAGAGAAAGAGCATCATTAGAAGATCCGCCCCAGATGTGGCAACAGTATTCCATACAGGGACGGATTTGAGATTTATAGAGATAGAGAATAGAATCTGGAGTAAGAAAGTGTCGAGCTCGATAAAGAGATGCAACCTTAGCAGATGCTAATTTTGCAATGGATTTGATATACGGTTTAAAAGAAAGATCAGAAGTAAGAGTTAATCCTAGAAGATGAATGGTAGATGACTCATCTAGTACATTACCATTCATAAATATAGGAAGATCTAAATTATTACGATAACGATTGGCCGAATAAAATTGAGTTTTATCTGAATTAAAGTTCACCAGCCACTGTGAGCCCCATGCTGTAGCAGAAGTGAGATCCTTTTCAAGCTCAGATACCCCCTCCAAGCAATCAGAGAGTGTAGGCTTCTTATCATGACAAGAGTAAATGGTAGTGTCGTCGGCGAATAATGCCACCTTAGATGTGAGAATATCTGGAAGATCGTTAATGTAAATTAAAAAGAGTATAGGGCCAAGGATTGAACCTTGAGGAACCCCTGAAGTTACAGGATGTGAAGAAGAGTGTTGTCCATCGAGGACAACTTTTATACTACGATTGGAAAGAAAGGACTCAATAATCTTAAAGACGTTACCAGCTACACCATAAGAAGAAAGCTTATGGAGAAGACCAGCATGCCAAACTTTATCAAAAGCTTTAGAAATGTCAAGTGCGATAGCCTTAACCTCTCCACCTCTATCTAATGCACGGTAAAACCTATCGGTTATTACTGTTAGCACATCAGCTGTAGAACGAGAAGACCGAAATCCATATTGATGATCAGAAAGTAAGTTATTTGATTCAAGATGAGAGATTAAGTGTTTGTTGATTAAAGATTCAAAAACCTTGCTTATGACAGGAAGAAGACTAATGGGACGGTAGTTAGATGAATCAGATCGCTCTCCGGAATTTTTGAAAATAGGGATAACAGATGCTGCTTTCCAGCATGATGGAAAACAAGACTCTGATAAGCACTTGTTAAATAGTTTAGAGAGTATGGATGAAAGCTCAGGAGAACACCTCTGCAAGACTACAACAGGAATGTTGTCAGGACCACAAGCTGTTGAAGAGTCTAAGCAGGAAATTACTTTAGATACAGAAGCTGAAGTGATGCGAATGTCAAGCAAGGGATCAACCTGTTTGACGGCTATGTCAGGTAAAACGCAACTAGTGGAATCAAGAGATGATATTGATGAAAAGTTCTTAGCAAACAATTCAGCTTTGTCTTTAGGTGAGGTGACAAAGTCTGAACCATACAAGAGAGAAGGAATAACAGATTTGCCCTTATTATTGATACTGTTAAAGATTCTCCAGAAGTCTCGAGAGCCTAATTTTTGTGATGAGATACGAGATTTAATGACCTGGGAATAGCGAGCTTTGGCGTCAGACAAAACCTTTTTACAATGGTTTCTGGCGATAGTGAACAGATGTCTGTTTTCTGGAGAATTGTTTTGCTGATAGATATGGAAGTAACAGTTTCGATTAGAAATTGCTGCAGCGCAATGTGAGGAAAACCAAGGAGAACAGTGAGGCTTGACCTGGAATCGTCGAGAGGGAATAAAAGATTCCATGCCAGCCTGAATCCACGAAGTTATGTAAGAAGCACATTTGTCAGCAGGAAGACGAAAGATTTCTACCCAAGGGCCATCACGAAGAAAATCACGGAAAGAGTCCCAGTCAGCTTTAAGGTAGTTGTATGTGGTACGATGATAGGGGGATTCTGATGAAGTAGAAGAATTTGATAATAGTTTTAGAGAGATCAAACCGTGATCAGAAGTACCTAAGGGTGAATGTGGAGAAATTGAGCACTGACTAGGATCCAAAACAAGACATAAGTCGAGTAGAGAAGGTAAATGATTAGGGTTGTCTGGAAAACGAGTTGGAAAGTTGACTATTTGAGTTAGAGATTGAGAAAGGCAAAAGTTGAGGGCCTTAACGCCAGCAGAGTCACTGACACTAGAGCCAAGCCAATCGGTGTGGTGGGCATTAAAGTCACCAACAACGACGATATTGGCCGATGGATAAAGAGAGAGGGCTTGGTCAATTTGATCAGAAATAACATCAAGAATAGTGCAATCTTGGGATGAAGGAGAGCGATATAGAACAAAGAGAAAGGCGATAGAGTGAAGTTGTGCTAAACGAAAGCACATAAATGAATAGTCTGTGGATTCAAACCTAGTTTCACGACAAATGGGTGAGTTCTTATGAATGTAGATGCCCAGACCAAGCATGTGATTATTGGAGTCTTTACGAATTAAAGGAAGATAACCATCAACACTAAGATCACAAGATGGGACAGCCGAACTCAAATTAGTCTCACAAAGAGCAAGTAGGTCTGGTGAACTTTGCAAGAGATAAGACTCAACAGAAGAAAAGTTACTTCGAAGACCACGAATATTAGTAAATGATAGGTTTAGAGAACTTGGTGATGACGATGGTTTTTTGTGTTTTTTAGTTTTAGGTACTTTAGTCATTTTAAATTTATAAAGAACTTGACTCAAGTATAGATAGTACTCAGTACACTATTTAACAACTAAGCAATAGCCTCATTACTATTAATAAACCCTAAGCCGTAACAAAGGGCTCCAAATGTGGCCTCTGCAATGCACACCAAAAGTACAAACAGGGACACCATCCATGCGCAACATGGCACTGTTAGTACTCTGATATTTTTCGGCTGTTGATGGAATCAGCCTCTCTGAGAGCTACCACAGAGTTCGGGAAACCTGACTACCAGCCGGCCTCAGAACCATAAAACTGAGTTTTAAACATACTTTTTAAACAAGTATTTTTTGGATTAAAAAAAAGAAAAAAAGTTCAAAACAAAAAAACAATGATCAATCATAATAAAGTGTTTTCTCATGCAATAAAGATCCTAAAAAAAAAAAAAAAACTGTCTACAATTTTTATAGAAATAACTAATAATTTTGTTGGAAAAAAAAAACAAAAAAAAAAAACAAGATTTATTAAACAAAAAATGCGAACTAATATTTAAATGTCTTCATGAAAACAAATTTGTATATTTAAACTTTTTTTTTTGTACAAACTATATGAGTTTGTAGCTATTCAAACAATTTTTTGTAGCTATTCAAACAATTTTTTGTTACTCAAAATGCATCCTTGTCTGATTCATCATTCTGTTAAATGACATTTCATATTGTTATTTTTGCTCAAAGAGCTTTTATTTATCCAATCTTTTCTGCAGATACCAACACTTTGAAATTCTCTTCCCTTTTTCTTTCTTTCCTGATTTATATAATTTACTGCAATTTAGCTGTTAATTTTTCTAGCTTTTTTTTTTTTTTGCTTCTTTTTTGTTTTATTTAAATCCTAAGTACAAAGTAAATGTTTCGATTGGTTTGTTAAAAGTAAATGTTTCAATTGGTTTATTAAAAGTAAATGTTTCAATTGGTTTATTAAAAACATTTAGAACATTTCTCCTTAAAAAAGAAATTTAAGAAACAGCATTTGAATTATTTATTAGTAAAGGTAAAAAACAACTTTTGTTTTAAACACTTTAAAAATAACTCTGTGTTCTAGATGATACTTTTGTTATCAGAGATATTTTATGTTCTTATGTAAATTAAACATTACTCAAGTGGAATGTAGTTAAGCAACCATCAGTTAATAAATCTGTTTAATATTTAGAATTTCCCCAATATCTGTAACTATATAAGCTTAAAAATGATTAAATTTTATTAAAAATGAACAATTTTACTTTGCAGCTGTTTTTAACACTAATGAAGTCATGAAATGATGTTTTTAACACTGATGAAGAAAAAAATGTTGCATAAATGATGTTGCATCTTCATCCATAGTATCCAGAGTATCCTTGAATTATATAGAATTGTAAAGCTTCTAAAGTACACTGAAAATGTATGTTAATCTTAACCCAATAAATATGCTATTAAAAACAGTCAAATCGCTTGCATACTTAGTAGATTACTAATTAAACTGTTTCAATTTTTTCAATTTGTAAAAATCGGAAACTTATACTTGAAAACAGATAATACACAGAAGTTGTAGAATAAGGCTATCGGAAAAATCTGCCCACCTTTCTTGATGAAAAAAGGATGTAAGAAAGCTTAAATATATTTCTGAAAAATTAAGACTGTAAAGATTACATATAAATAGGGAAAAAACAAAAAAAATTGTTTTGATGCCTCCCATAAGTTTCTGGACAGAGTGATTTTTGTAAGTTTTAGCAGCGTAATCCCATTTTTTCTTCAAATCTGTAACTAATTTTACTGTTTTTCCACTTAACTTCAATTTCTTTTTTATGATGGCCCAATATTTTTCAATAGGACGTATTTCGGGGCAGTTTGAAGGATTCATCTTTTTCGGAACCAACATCACTCCATTATCATCGTAAAACTTTTGAGCATCTTTTGAGTAATGTATTGGAAAATTGGAAACCTTCAGTTTTTTCGCTCGAAATCTATCAGATCAATCAGGATGTTCTTCCAATGAAGTCTCCAACCGTTTAAGAGCTCTAGGATTTGCTGTGCGTTTTTTTTTTTACCACTTCCTTGTTTTCTCTGAATAGTTTTCTGTTCTGTAAAATGTTTAAGAACAGTATTTACAGTTCTTCTTGATATTTTTAATGATTTTGCCAACTTTCTATTCGATAAAGTTGGATTTTTTAAGTGTTTGTCCACAATCAAAAATCTTTGTTTAGTTTGCTTGGTTGACAAACTAAACAATATTTTTAATTATTTTTTTCTGCCAAAATGTTCTATTATACAAACACTACTACACACAAAAAAATAATTTCAAAAAACGACCATTAACTAGCTTTACCACAACGCAAAAGATGGGCAGATTTTTCCGATAGCATGCCTTATCAAAAAATTAACCTTTTGAAAAATTACAAAATATTACTTCATACATAAATTATTCTATGCCAACGTAAGAGATAAAATTTTTAGAAAGCAAGAACAAAGATGTTGTTATATTAAGATAAATCTATGTAAATATACATTTATGTAACCTCTATGTACATTTATGTACCTCTATGTAAACATACATTTTCTAAATATATTATTTTTTATATTTCCATTCTACAAGATTTTTTATTTTGTGTTTACTGCATAATAATAATTGTTCTTCAAAATTTTGATATATATATATATATCAAAATTTTGTTATGTATATATATATATATATATATATATATATATATATATATATATATATATATATATATATATATATATATATATCAAAATTTTGTTATGTATACATATACTACTATAAAATTGAAACTATAGATATAATGTTAATCAATTTTTTTTTTATTTGCAAAAAAACTCTTTTTTAAACAAATATTGCATCTTGAATGACATATTGAAACATAAAACTGTATATAAAAATGTTTTGACCAACATAATTACAAAAAATATCAGTAAAAAAACTGTGATATATGTGAAAAATAAGCAACAAAAATAACATCTAAACAAGTATTTAAAACATCTGCTTTTTTTGCAAACAACACATCTTTTTTGCATCAATTGTTGCAAACTTTATTTGGAACTTTTCTTGAATATATATATTTCTTGTTTTAGGCTATATATGGATCTTATTTGTATCTTGACTAATATGTATATTGGTTAATATGGTCTGTATAAATGTTACTTACACCTACTCCATTTAAATTAAAGCAGCCCCAAATACCAACACTTTTGCCGCCACATTGCAAGCTACAACAAAGCAATTAATTTTCTTAATTAAATCTGTTAACAAGAACTTTGCTTATTCTATTTATTACTTTTATCACTAAAAAGTACACCCCTCCTTACGCCACTCCTTTTTTACACTTTCTTACTTCCACCACACCACTCCATACACTACTTTAATCTTGTGAGCTAATCTCTGGCAGTAAGATTTTTTAACAGCTGCATAAACACCAATTATTTTCCTTAGCTAAATGTTTTTTTAAATGTATTTAAAGAAATACGTTTTTTTACAACTTTCATTGAGTAAGTTCACAATAACTTAACATCAGATTGACTCTTAGTTGACAAAATATACAATTTTTTTTATTTCCTGATCCTGCATCTGCATGACATAGGATGCCACCTTTTGTTTAATCATTAATCATTGACCAATCCTTCATACCTATTGATTGCCACTTTAATGCTTCGCTTTCAACTTAAACTTATCTAAACTACTCATTAATTCTAAAAATGAAAACGAAGAAACATAATGTAATAAAATAACATAGACACACTATATACTTTTTTTTTTAATTTTATTTTGTTTTGCTCAGTGTAGAGTAAAATATTGGTGTACCTTGAACTGAACTAGATATGGATTAAATTGATTACCTTGACAATGTCAACAAGAACATGAAAAACTTTTATTGATGTTTCTACTTTAACCATTTTCTCCACAATATTCTGTAAAAAATAAAAAAAATCCAAGAAACTAAAACATTAAATTTTTAAATCATTTAAATAACATATTAAAACTTCATTTAGAAATTTATAAAAATATTTATGGATTTTATAAAGTTAAATTCTTGTAACTCACTGCATCTGATGTCATGTTTGCCATTACTGCATCTGATAGTACTGTTGAAATGTTAAGTTTAGTAATAGTATTTAACTCCTCAAATAAGCATTTATAACAAGTTAGTAAAGTATTTCTAAAAATAAACATTAGCAAATATATTTTAACTATATATTTATATATTAAGCCATTTTTAGGCTTTATAAATTTACCTTTGCCAAAAAATGATACCTACTCTTGGATGAGGGTCATTTTTTCATAAGGTTTTGGAAAGTTTAAAACACAAAACTTTCACTTTCAACTTTCACTCAACTACTCACACCTTAATCATGCAACTCATACACACATAAATTACATTAAAAAAAAAATATATATATTGTTGTGAAAAAAATAAAAAATTATATATATATATATATATATATATATATATATATATATATATATATATATATATATATATATATATATATATATATATATATATAAAATAGATGTATATTTGTTAATATATGCATAAGTATATGGAAGTTTAAACATTGCATTATGTGGATATTTTGCTTTAGCTTTATCTTCCACAGAAACAGGTGTTTTTGTGGAAGATAAAGCTATCGCTAAGAGCACACTGGTAGTAAATGACTAAGGCCCTGGCCCGGCTGAAAAATGAGACTTTTTGCAAACCCCACACTGGCAAAATTATAAGATTAATTTAGCAGGAGTTGAAAACCGGGGCTAGAAAAAAAATTATAATACTACATATATTATAATTTTATGCTTACATTTATTATTTATTAAATACTGGCATACATTTATATATTTTTTAACTCTAATTTATTTGCAATAAGATTGCAAGCAACCGCTATTAAGTTATGAGTTACTTTAAAATAGAGAATAAGTTAAAATACTTGGGAAAGTATAACTGAAGACTTAAAAAGTTTTAAGTTGTATAAAAAAGGAAAAAATGATGATAGGTAAGGTTTTTTTGATGTTCAAGGAAAAAACTGGATTAATAAAAGTTTTTTTTAGCATGAAGGGACAGATACAGTAAAAGGATGCAACTTGTTTAATAAAAAGCCAAGAATGAGTTTTGGAGCAAGAAAGAAACAAAAATCCAAACGAGAATGAGTTTTGGTTTATCGTTATTAGGGTTTCCAATTATCCAACATTAATGACTATCCGGATATCGAATACTGAAAATTCAAATTATTCGGATATATCCGGATAACAAAAAAAAAAAATAATAGATTGAACTTAACACATTCATAGTAATAATTAATTTTAACTTAAGTATTTTAGTGATATACATTAAAAAATCAAATATATAAAAAAATAAAACAATTATACCAATTACATTTATTTCATTTTTAAAAATGCATATTTCAAAAAAATAATTGCATTAAGAGTTTCAAAATTTAAGCGAGTTCTAATTTTTGTCCGCATTAAACCAGCAATTGAAAAAATGCGCTCTGTTGCAGTAGATGTTGGTCTAATTGTTAGAAGTGCATTAAACAATATATTTAAGTTATTTGTTTTTGTTTTAGTGGTTGTTAAAAACATAAAACCATTTTTCAACAGTGAAGTATTTGTGCTGCTCTGCTTTTCTGCATGGGTAATTGAGGAAATAGCTGCTCTCAGCTTTTGCTGCATAATATTATTAGCACTTTGACTTTTAGACATACTTCCACTTGATATTTCTTTTGCAATTTCCTCAACCTCATTGTTTTCAGTACTGCTGCTGTCACCACTAGATGTATGAATCCTTTTAAATATTTCCACTGCTAAAGTGATAGCGGCAGCTTTTGAAGTATATTCCAAAAATTTAGTAGAATGTGGAATATTGCCTGATTCTAAGAAGATTATTAATGTCATAAGGATTTTATCACGACGTTCATCCATTCACTTTTTTATCTGTTTTAATAAATTTTTACTTATATTCGTTTGTAACTGATCTAAGTTTTCAAATATAAATTTATAAATACCTTCAGCGGTCAAAAGAGTTGCAGAATTTTTACTCAACTCCTTTATTGCAGTTTCTATCAGCAATAAGACATTTAATAGTTCTTCTAAAGTTGCTACGTTCTCCTCTGAAATCTTTTGTTGCCTTAATTCATTTAAAGTTTTATTTATAGGATCCTTTATTAGAAGGAATCCAATGTTTTTGACAGATTCATCTTCAATGTCTTCACTAACATCTTCATAATCTGTTACTTCTTCATTTTCTTCACAAAACTTTGATTGTTGTTTTTTATACAATACATCAGTTATTGCTAAATGCAAACCGTGGTTATAATAAAGTTGAAATATGATGCCTAATTAAGATATCTATTCATAGAGTTATCAGTCCACTCCTCTACTGTTAGTGAGAATTTAACATTTTTTCCCTTTAGATCCTTGATAATACTAACTGTTTCTATTTTTTTTACTTCATAAAACTTTAAAATGCACTTTGTTACAGTAGTAGGACTTTTAGGCATGTCAAATCCTTTACTTTTAATGTACCCAATAATGGCTTGTGATTTCACTATAGAATTCATTGAGAAACCATCCTCTGCTACACATCGCGATAAAATTTCCACCAATGTTTTAGTTTTAATAAACTTTTTTATACTATTGTCAACATAAACACTTTTAAAACTTTTTGATGTCGATGATTAACTTTGTTCACAATTTATCTCTAATGAATTATTAGTGGCAGTAGTTAGGCTAGAGGAATTTAAGAGAATGTTATGAACTTTTAAATGATTAAAAAGTGGTATTGTAGATGATCCTTTACATCCTAGTTATTTAGTGTAATGCTTACAGCAACATCCCTATTTTTTTCATTTCTCTTAAAATGGTTCCAAACTTCAGATCGTTTTGACATTACAACTTTTTAAGCTTAAGAAATCTAAAAATTAATTATAAATTTAAAATGCAAGTATTATATCTAGAGTGAAATATTTATCTAGAATTTTGTGTAATAAATCATTTATTAAACTAAATACTCACTGCAAGCAAAAAAGAAATAAAAACCAATTTAATAAAAGATAAATACTGTTCAAGAATACTAATGTTACAAAAATCACTAAGTAAAATAAAAAAAAAAAACATTATACTTACAGTTAAAAAAAAAATTATAAAACAGAATATTAAAAATATTTAATTTATAATTAAAATGCCCAAATTTAAAGAACATATACATATTAATGTGCTTAAACAACTGAGCTACAAAGTGTAACAACAAACAATTGTTACAAAGTGTAAAAAAAAAAATGCTAACATTTAAGAAAATAGAAACAAGTACATATTTTGAGTAAATTTACTGAACTTATTAAAAAGATTGTTATTTTAGTTTAAATTTTTCATCTTTTTAACTCCATGTTTAAAAGTTTCCCGCCGTTTAAAAACAAATTTTAGTTTATCAAAAAATATCTGGATAGGCAGATATTTAACGATAATTATCCAGATTATCGAATAGTCAAAATAAGACAGATTATCCGGATAATCAGATATCCGGATTGGAAACCCTAATCGTTATAGAGATGATAGCTCGTTTGAGCATTGACCATGATTGTATTTGTATAAAAAAGATAGAAATGCAACCTTACAACAATAGGAGAGTGGGTGAAGCTTGACAGATAAAGCAGGTCTAATTATATTTACAATGTGCTTTTAGACTTTAATATAAGATAAGCCACTGCAAGCCTTAGACTTTTACAGAAGTGAGATCAGATTTAAAATCAGCTGCTTGTTCTAAGCAACCAAAAAGTGAAATTTTTTTTTCAAAACAAAAGTATAAAGTTGAGCTGATGGCTCAACTTTATATATAGATATGGCTCAACTTTATATATAGGCAAATAGAGCCACTTTAGATTTCATGAAGATCGTTATTGTAGATAAGAAACAATACAGGAACAAAGATAGAACCTTGTAGTATCCTTAAAGTTACTTGAAATAAAGAAGAGGGTAGGCCTTCAAGAATAACTTTACTACTGCAGTTAGAAAGAAATAACTTAATAACCTCAAAACCTTTATATAAAGAAACTAATAACAGAGGGAAGACTAATCGTAGGATAGTTAGAGAGGTCAAAGTGATTTTTAGAGTTTTGAAAAATTGGAACCACTTATTTAGCACTTTTAAAAAGTTTAGCGAAAATTAAAGAGAGTTCTTTTTGAGCATAAACTGTAGAAGTGTTTAATTGAGAATTAAATTTAGCATTGAAAGCCAGAGCGATTTTGATGTTTAACAATAAATTAATCTGTTTAATTGTCAGGAGTAGTATGACCATTATATTCAAGAGTCAAATTAGAGCTAAATTTCTTTGCAAATAACTCTACTCTTTTCTGGGGAGAAATAAAAAGATCAGACACATGAATTAGAGATCAAATATTAGACTTACTTTAGTTACTGACATTGTTGAAGACTAACTAAAAGTCTCTAGAACCTAACATCTGAGATAAGATCTGTATGTAGGCCAGCATCTGTATTGTATGGCCAGCATCTAAATAAGTAGCAAACATATATGTTTGCGACTTATGTAGATGCTGGCCATACAATATACTTTCATTGTTATATAAACTTCAGAATTTATATGGTGTAGTATTTGCCAAAAGAGAAGATGATCAGATGGATGTGCGGTGTGACTCTAACAAGACAAAAAAAGGAGGCATATTCTTAGACATATACAGTATCGGACAAAACAAGTGCAACCAAATAATGCTAATTTAGTTTCTTTATATAAAAGTGCTGCATTTTTTTAATTTAGAGAAATAACTATGTAACTGTTTAGAGACAACGTTCTTCAAGTTTTATTTATCACAAAGTTCATTATTTGTACACAAAAATTAATAAATTAATCAAAAGTATTAAAAAAAGTTGATTTCCTTCTAGACAAAACAAGTGCAACTCCACAAAATGTTGACCAAGCTTTATTTCGCTATAAATATTTCGTGGCGAATCCTTTGTTGTTGATCACAGCCTTGCATCTTTGAGGCATAGATTCAATCAGGTGTTCAATGAAACTTTGTGGAATCGCTGCCCAAGCCTTTTGAATTTGTTTAAACAGTTGATCCTTATTACAAACACCTTCACAATTAATTCTGTGATTGACGATCTCCCACAGGTTCTCAATAGGGTTGAGTTCCGGAGATTGAGGCAGCCAATCCATCACCAAAAGGTGGTTGTCTTGAAACCACTGCATGACTACTTTTGCAGTATGTTTTGGATCGTTGTCTTGCTGAAAAACCCATTTTATTGGCATATTCCATTCAGCATGAGGTAACGTAACATCTTTCAGGATATTTTTATACATGAAATGGTCCATTATTCCATTGCTTTGATGTATTGGACCTAGACCGTTAGCAGAAAAACACCCCCAGACCATTACATTGCCTTCACCATGCTTCACGGTCTTATGGCAGTAACGTAAATTGAAGCATTTTCTGGCTGGTCAACGTACACGGCAAATGTCATCGCTCCCAATGATGTTGAACTTCGATTCATCACTAAAACAGGATAGTTTGCCGTTTCTGCACATTCCAGTCAATATGAGATGTTACAAACAGGAGTTTTTTCTTCTGGTTCTTTAGTGAAATCAGCGGTTTCTTTGCAGGGCGTCAAGTCCCCATAGAACAATATTTGGAACATTTCTCAAGGCTTACTGTGTTACATTTACCTTGTGATGATACAATAATGCTCTGTGGAACACAACGTCTTGGTTGGATGTGGAATGTATTAATATAATGAAATGTTTATTTCATTTCTTGCAATGATGTTCTTCGATAAAACACTTTGATAAAACTCACTTCGATAAACTGTCTTGATAATACTGACTGATTGACTTCCATACACTGACTGATTTACACGTCAGTTTACATGTCTCTTATATAGTAAAATGAACCTGTTCTGGAAGATTCTAGATGCTTCTTTTCGATGCTTCTGGAAGCTTCTGGTAGCTTCTGAATGTTTTTAGATACTTCTGGATGCTTCCAGATGCTTCTTCTGGAAACTTCTGGAAGCTTCTGCATGCTTCTGGAAACTTTTGGATACTTCCTTTAAATATTAAAAAACTTCCGTGACATTGACACGGACCAGACTTAAGAAAATGAAAGAAACCAAAAAAGTTGCACTTGTTTTGTCCGCTGCAAAATGGCACTTGTCAATGAAATTCTGCCTGTGTGCTGTCTCCTGTCAGCTGATTGCTCTTGTCATGGTATGCTTTGACTCCAGACTCCTGAACTGTTTGCTGTGGTAGTATAGTTTGTTTCACTTTTAAGACATGCAAAATTAGGAACACTTTTTAACATTGTTCGATGTTGGTTGCAAATGTTTTGTCCAATACTGTATATACACCTATATATATATATATATATATATATATATATATATATATATATATATATATATATATATATATATATATATATATATATATATATATATATATATATATATATATATATATATATATATATATATATATATATATATATATATATATATACACACATATATATATATATATATTTTTATCTAGAGACTAGAGTGTAAACTTCAGTTCACATCATGTAGACTTGAGTGTAAACACAGTGTATATTTCAGTTCACATCTTGAAATGAAATATGCACTAAACTGTTTTAAAACAAAGAAAATCTAGATGCTATGTTATAAAATTCAAGTTAAAAGCAAAGTTATAAAATTCGAATATAAAATTCGAAAAGTGAAATGATTAAAATAAAAAAAATTTTTGGCAAATGTCCAAAAAATGTATTGATAAAAGTCATTTTTTGGATATTTTCCAAAATATCCAAAAAAAGTTATCCTTGCCTTTCCACTAAATTGTGGTGTCACTTGCAGGGATGTGGAATCCCAAAAAGACTCCACATCCCTGCAAGGCTTTATATCACTCGGCTTTATATCTCTACTTTTTCCAAGTCTGTAGTGACCAGAAATTCTAAACATGTTTGTTGGCTTATGATTTGCTATAAGTAAAAAATTCATGAGATTTGAAACTTATTGTTTTTAGAATAAAAACAATAAGTTTCAAATCTCATGAATTTTTTACTTATAGCAAATCATACTCTGGGACTCCAGGTTTAAAAACAATAAGTTTCAAGAATGACTTGAAACTTATTGTTTTTAAACCTGGAGTCCCAGAGTCCATGTCACCATTATACCTAGGACTCAGGTTCAAAAAATGATTATTTCTCTTACCTAAAAGTCTTTTTTTTTTTTTCAATAAGTAGTCCATAAACTTATTTATATTTTTAGAGCTCCTGGATACCAAAAACTGGTTTTAAAAAGACTTATCTCCTTAAAGGAATAAGATTTTAAAAATAGGAAAACTGTTTTAGAAGGTATTTTTCTTCTAGTTTTTAAATTTTTTATGTGTTTTTATTTTTATAGAAAAATGAATAAAAAAATAAATTCAAAACAAGAAGAGATTAGAAAACGTGTGTATGAATTTTATATTAAATTACAAAAATGCTGGTAAAAAGTTCACTTATGACCACTTTTAAGTTGAGAATATAACTAAAAGTACTATCTGCATGATAATTAAACGTGCTGAAAGTGAATCTGGGTACCAAAGAATTCAAGGAAGTGGAGTAAAAACTAAAAAAATGACCAGGACAAATATTGAAAGGCTCAAACTCATGTTTGACCATAAAGACGGAGTTTCTCAACGACAGGCAGCTAAAAAGTTCAACTGTACTCAGCAACAAATTAGTAAAACATTAAAAAAAAGAACAAATATTAAATCAATAAAAAAATGACAAATCCAAAACGCTCTGATCAGCAAAAAGCAGTAGCTAGAACTAAGTGCAATCGATTATGTCAGAAATTCAAAAATCATAAAGCAATCATTGACGATGAGTCTTATTTCACGTTAAATCACTACAGTATCAATAGAAATGATATATTTTATACTAATGATGTAAAATCTACTCCATCTACAATTAAATACCAAACAAAACAAAAGTTACAAAAGAAATTACTTCAATGGATTGCTTTTTCTGAAAATGGATATTCTCAACCTTATTTTGTACCAAGTGGACTGGCTGTAAACCAAAAAATCTATTTAAACAAATGTATTAAGAAGAGACTTATTCCATTCATCAATAGGTATCATTCAGATGATACATATGTATTCTGGCCAGATTTAGCATCATCTCACTATGCAAAAGTTAGTAATTATGTACCTGAACTAGGAAAACGTGCATTATGTTGAGAAAGCGGATAACCTTGCAAACTTGCCAGAATGTTGCCCTATCAAAAATTTTTGGAGTAGTTTAAAAGGCCTTGTCTACAAAAATAAGTGAAATGCAGAAAATTAAAAAAAACTACATTCTAGAATCAAGTATTGCCTTAATAAAATTGATATTGAGCTCATACGGAGACTAGCTTAGTCTATACCAGGCCTAGTTGATAAAGTCAGAAGAAATGCTTTAATTGAGAACAACTGATTATATATGTAAAAAGTAGAATAAAAATACTTTCTAGAACATTTTTCCTTTTTGTTTTACATTATTTCTTTAAAGAGATATGCGTCTTTAAATCCAGTCTTGTTTTTTAGTTGTCAGCCATTGTTGGTTCAAGTAATTATCTATGATTGTTATGAATGGTTAAATCTATTTGGTCATAAAAATATATTTATGCTAGTTTTTTTGTTTTTATTTTTAGGCTAAAACAACAAATGGGCCTGTTTATTAGTTTGTCCTTTTTAGTAATGAATAAGTCTTCTTTTTTTTAAAATTTTAAACACTAAAGTAATGTTAAAATTTATATTTAGATGATATTTATTAAAAGACTTCTTTTTTATGCTTCTATTTAGTAAACCATTTTATCAATACTGCTTAACAAACTGTGCAATAGTCCATCAAATAATTTTAGTAATTGTTTTTCAATTATTTACTTTATATTAAGTCAAACAATAATAACAATATAGATAAAAACCTGTGCCGCTATCCATGAACAAATTTTTATATTAACAAAATATAACAACTAAACTTTTCCTGCTATATTGCGAGCCTATTACTGTTTTAATGAAATGGTCAATTTATCATATTGTAAAAATATATGAAAAAAATAAAACAATAAATTTACTATTGCAAAAAAATTATAACAGCAAAACTTACATATTTTTAATTATTGTTTGTTTAAACACGAGATAGTATAAGGATTATAAATTAAAAAAAAAGTTATAGGAAAAAAATAATAATTACTAAAGGTCTGTACATACAGATTTTAACTATATATATATATATATATATATATATATATATATATATATATATATATATATATATATTATATATATATATATATATATATATATATATATACAGACCCACATACATATATTATAATGTTATATATGCCTGAAAACAGAATTAAAAAAAAAAGAACAAAACAATATACATATTTACTTTGTCAATGAAGGTAAACTTTTTATAAACACATCAATATTTTTCTTTTCTGGGTCCACTATTAGTCCATTGCAAACATTGTTACATATATCATTAATAGCGGTCAATGGTTCTTCTGAAAGAGTTATGCTGAGCCTAACCAAGAAATAACAAAATATAAGTTTGAATCAATAATGCTTTGTCATCAAAGCATAAACTCAATAAAAATATAAACTCAACCCATATAAATAATAACCATAGATAAATAAACAATAAGAATATATACATAGAAATAATAAAGTATGTACAGGTAACACTATTACACTTTTATCATCTTGAAGACTAGATACAAAAAAGTCTGCATAGTAAAAGTCTTACATAAAAAGTCTGATACATACTAAAGTGCAACAAAACCCAACAAAAAAGATGTTTGAAGGTTAAAAATACCAAAATTGTCTCATTAATTAAAATGCCAGAAACTGTCACATTCACTTCTAATCAAAACTTTAAAAACAGATTCTTAAAAAATATCATGTTATAAAGAGACTTATAAAAATGGAAATTCAAAATTAATATTTATCACTATTTACTTGAAAACAACATTAAAAAAATGGTTTTCTATCTGAAAAATGAAAAAAAGTTGCAAAAAGTCAATTTATAAATTTTATTGTAAAGTTCTTTTTAAAAACTTTGGTTTGTTTACAACTCTTTTACTTCATTATTGAAAACAAAAGCTACTTTTAGAAGAAATATTGAGTTATTAGTATGTGTTGTCATTGGTAACACAGACACAAAAGTTACTCAAAATTAGTACAAATTTTACAAATTCTTATCAGAGATTATTTTGAATTTTGATATTGATATTTTTGGTGATAGATGTAACATACCTCTCATCAATAATTTGTTGCATTTATTACTTGCATTATTTTATGCATTTCTAAATGAACCTGTTTAGAAAACAAAATTTTTTAAATTAGGTGATAAAAAATTGTAATACTTGATAAGATATGAAAGGTTTGTATTAAACAACGGTCCTTTATCCTTTTCTCCATTATTGTCAAACCAAGATTTTTCCAGGAATGAAACAGCAATATCTCCTGTTAAAAAAAATCATTAAAAAAACTGTGAATGAAATAATAATCTGCTTAGCAATTGAGCTTTTAGTGAATTTAAATTTACTGGTAAATTGTTACAAAAAAGCATAATTTAAAGGTAAATATCGTAAAATCACTAAAAACATATTTTATTTTGTAAAACTAATAATTTACAATTTATAAGATTTAGATTTAATATATTTATAGATAATTATAATAATTATAATATATATATATATATATATATATATATATATATATATATATATATATATATATATATATATATATATTCATAAATTTGAAGAAACAAAGTGTGTCAAACAAGTGGTCATTTTTTCTTAATTGTATTTTTGTCGCAAATAATCCAGCAGCAAAAAAGACTTGGTTAGACTTGATACTTATTGGAGAGATAGCATCCATGCAGCAATAAAAGTTCAAGAGTTTTAAAAGTTTTATTTCTAGAACTTTTATTTTTCTTTTCTTTTCTGAATTGCATGAAATTGTCAAGATTTTCTGAGCCGTACACCTCTAGAATATATTTTAAGTCAACTGGATTTGTTGGTAATAGCCTAGACAGCAAATTTTTGGCAGTCTTTTGAAGTACAGACACTGAAGGCAAAACTTTATGTTCTTCAATGTTGGCTAAACATTCTGGATTGGAAAAGTATCTGTACAAGTTTACAAGATTGATGTCTTCTTCTTCAGAGCATCTTCAAATAGCACTCATTGCAATACAAAGAGTTGAATCTTGAAGAGTTACAGTTTGTTCACAAGAAAGTTTAAAATTCCCTAAGCAATAAGATGAGTTGCATCCCGTTGGCAAAGGGCTTCTGCTTCCAATTTCAAACATTCATTCATTTATAATATTCAAACTTAAAAATTTAAATCAAAGTTATCTAACAACTTAGTCATCAGCAATTGTGCATCTTGATCTTAAATGTATGTAAACTTGTACAAGCATTTCAGCTTTTTCTCTTCCTAAATAATTCCTAATTTTGCTCGAAATAATGCCAAAAGATGAGAAAAATCTTTTAATGGATCCAGAACTAGCCGGAAAGTATGCAACTGCCGAAAAAATTTTGCAAAATTTTTGCATTAGGCAATTTGTAAGATTTAGATCCCTTCATTTCTATAATTCTCCACCAATTTGTTGCTAATGTTGTGCTTTTTACACTATCGTTGAATAAATATGTTGGGAAACAATTAGCATCTTTTAGTATAAATGCATAGTAGCATTTATACTAAAAGATGCTAATTGTTATAGTCAGCTTCTTCTTCTTGACTTCTATCCAATGTTCTTCTTAAGTAAATAATTAAATTTATAATAGTAGTAAACTTAAATACAAACTTTACATCTGTTTTTATTTAAAATTGATCAGATGCAATATTTTGTTTTTATTACAATTGTTTAGCTTCATATTTTGTTCATAAATTGTTTACCTTCATATTTTAGATCTGTTAAATTGGCAAAAAAATGACAAGGAACAATTGCTTTCTTAAACCTCTTTAAAATATCATCTGTACAAAGCCAATTTTTCATTATGTATGAGGCTTTGCCAAATCTCAACTGCCTCAGATAAAGTTGTATCGCCTGCCTGCAATTACAGTAAACACAATAACTTTTTTAATAATTATGTAAATAAAGTTAATGATGGCATGGTGCCTAATATAATTAATTTTAATATACTTATTATAATTAAATTAAATTTATCCAGTTACTAACTAATTTTATTAACCTTATCTAACGCAACGCTAACAATTTTCAGTTGTGCATATAAATTTATTGCTTCTCTCTGTATTGACAGATTGTCAATTAGGCTTCCTATTGAAGGATCAACGGATTCCATATGCTCACCTCTAAAGTCAACGTACAGAGAATGATTAGAAATGTATGTCTGTAAACAATCTAGTCGGAAGTTCCAGCGAGTATCATTGGGTAGCTGTGGCATCAGTCCACCTTTTTCCAATAACCATCCCTATAATACATTTGTTTAAGAAAATTTAACAAAGAAAAAAATTGTTTCGTTAAAGTAAAGCTAGGATCTCTTGTGTCACAATTATCATTAGGCTTATATCATTATAACAGCTGTTTTATTTTATAGTATTGTACAGAATATGATCAATAAGTAAATAACAATCTAGAATTTAATACATACATAGTAATTTTATTTTTTATTTAAGTATTTGCTGTACCTAAATACCTAAATAAAAAATGAAATATATATATTTCATTTTTTATTTAGGTATTTGCAGCATGCACTGACAACGAAAATGAAATGTCTAAAATGAGACAACTTTTGCAGGCTGAAGCCCCTAAGTTGATAACATATGATTGCTCTGCTCATTTTTTAAATTTGGTTGAAAAGGTGTCTCTCCAAAGTCTATAGTAAAGCATATTATAGCAACTCATAAATATTTTCGTAATCATCACCAATGCTAAACATCTAACACTTACATCTTTATTGAATGTTTCTTTAGCAACTTTGATTGCACCCTTAGCAGCTTGAGCACAATATTCTGCTGTTTTTGATAGGCTTCCAGTGTCAATTGTAGAAATGAGATAATGTTTATTTCCATTGTGGATGCTATGAGCAATTATAGGATCATTACTGAATGTACTCCAACTATCTTGAATTAGGGTAACAGCACAATCATCAGCAAGATCATTTTTCATTAAATTGATTACTTCTTCATTTATATTTACTAAGAATTCTGAAGACATCTGTTTTCTATTTAGTTGCTCATATCCAGGTCTAAGTTTTTTAAGCAGCTTGGTAAATTCAAGATTTTTTACTACGTTGAATGGTATATTTGCTGAAAAGGAAAACCTTGCAACTTGAAAATCCAGTTCATCCTACTGATTACTTGTTGTAGTAACAAACTTAGAAACAGATGCTTGCTGTTGCATTGTCATTGCAGTTGGCTGAACAATTGATGAATAAGAAGAATCACAATGATAATGAACAATCTTGTTCATTATGATTGGACAGGTTAGACTTATTTGATGTTGCAGATGTAGATGGTCTTAACTCTAAAACTGATATATCACTTATACTTCAGCTTATATACTTCAGATATATACTTCAGATATATACTTCAGATATTCATATATTCAGATATATACTTCAGATATACACTTCAACGGAATTATTAAAACTTTCTTTATTCTTTTTTCTGCATTTATCCAAATGGATCTTAATTCTCTCTATTTTTTTAATTATGCTAACTTTGCAATAATTACATAATACTCTATTTGGTTGATCACTTTATATGGTCACTTCATTCCACTCACTAGCCTTATTTCTTCCCCCTGAATGATACTTTGGCATGATGAAGACGTATAATCTACTTATATTTTAAATTTAACTAAAACTTTATTTAAAAATAGATTTATATTAGAAAAAAAATGCAATCTGATTATTAAGCTTAAGTATAAAAAAATATACCTGTAAAAAATAAAAAATAGCTTTATTATACTTTATTATAAACTAAAAATTTTAAATAACTACTAATGAATCAAACTTTGTTACTAAAGATTTATACCAAACTTTAGCAAAAACTCAAAAACCCATTGAAAAACCCAGTTGGATTGGGTTTTTGCTCAAAAACCCGGGTTTTTGCCAACCCTGGTTTAAGAGCAGCAACAATGTCGTACAAGATGTTTACTTCATCACCACTGCAAATCAAATTTTAACCCACTGGATTGGTTTCTTATAATTTTTGGAAAATCATAACCTTTTTCACACACATTACAGGTCGAATGAAGGGGCTGTTAACAATCGTATGGAAACTAAATTCACCCAGTGGTGTAAGTTTTGAAATCACTTCTTTAATTTGTTGTTTTAGGGAAAAAGTTGAACCTTAGTATTTTTTCATTGTCAACTTTTTTTTTTCTTGATTGTCGTGGGACTTAAGAGTATTTCCACATATTTTGAAAGTCAATGTTTTTTGCTTTGTTTAAGGTGTAATGTTTTTGAATGTCTGACAATTTAACCAAAAGAAAATCAAATCGACTGATAAATACCACAACAAATGTATAACAAGAAAGGGTGATAACTTTTGTAAAATGTTTAGACAAAACTTAACCAACAGAATCAGTTTCCAAACAAAACAAACAACAGCTTAGTTGATTGTCAACAAATTTTTCATTTATTGATCAAGCTATTTCAAACCCTTTAAAATATTTTAAAGTATTTTTAATCATAGTAATTCTCTTTATCATCTTTATTTTTTAGATTTTTGTTAAAGAGACAAACAAATATATGAAGTGAAGGAGTTCTGATTTACATAAAGGAAAATAATATAGATAACATTAGGAATGAAATTTATTTTCATAGATAAGTAAATACTTTTCAAGCTAAATAAAAAATTGTTGATTGTCAAAACATTTACAATTGAAAATTTAAACTATTTTTTGTTATTACAATTGCTATTAAGTATAGCATTTTAAAAGAATTTTTTTTTATTTAACATTAAATTATTTTATTAAAATAATTAAATAATTATTTACTTGATTACACTTAACTGCTTTTAAACTATAAAAATAATTTCTTGGGATTTTACTTACTAATTTTTTTTTTAATTGTCTCCTTTTCAACATTCCATTTTAAAGTCAAAAGTAGAATTTTCAGCAAAGTGGCTGCCAAATGAATAGATGTTACTGTTGCACTGAATGACACAATACTTTGAAAGAACTCTCTAAATATATATATATATATATATATATATATATATATATATATATATATATATATATATATATATATATATATATATATATATATATTTATATATCTGTACAAGCTTACAATAATGTCTTCTTCTCTCAAAATGTCTCAAAAATGCATTCTTCATTGCAATTTAAAGAGTTGGATCTTGTTATGTGTATGTGTGTGTGTATATATACATATATACAGTTTATTTATTTTATTCAGTAATCAATCAAAAAATTACAACAAAAAATTAAAGCCAAAACTAAAAATAAAATGATTGATAAGGAGGGGCAGCACCAGGTTTCTTCTGTTCTTACAGTCTTGTGCTGCATATAAAGCAGCTGTAGTTAAATAAAAAAGTTTTTGAAGCAGTTGACATTTTGCACATCAATGGTCTTTAGTGGGAGAGTGTTCAAATAACTTTTCTCTTTCAATACAATGATTTACTCTTTCTTTATCAAGGCACTGACTGTGACCTTGAAGATTGTAAATCAATTTAGCTAAGTGTTGTGTCTGTGGCACGTGAAAATAGACCTTGTCAATGTTTTGAGTGATCTTGAATTGTTTAATTAGGTCACCTCGCATTCTGCGGTCTTCAAGAATTGATAAACCAAATATTTACAGTCTTTGGATGTATCATAAGTGCTTTATTAGTAAAATTGTTTTTGTCGCACTTTTCTGCACTTTTTACAGTATTTCAATGTCATGTTTGAAAAATGACAACTACACTGGTACTGCAAACTCGAGATGTGGGTGAATATAAGTTGCATACAATATTCGCCAGACAATAATACACTAACTGTGGAATACTTTTTTCAGCCTACCAAGTGCTTGATTGGTCATTGAGGCTATTGTCTCAACTTGATTTTTTTAGTTTTTAGCTGCCTGAGACCATGATACCGAGGGCTCTTTTGCTTTGGCAACTGCAAGTTGTACTCAAGATCTTTCACCGCTGCACATTGAATATTGTTGTATTGACCTTTTGGTTCTACAGCCTATGTGCATTACTTTGCATTTTGCCACATTGAAAGACATGCCCCAAATTCTGAACCACTCCATGGCTTTGTCTATGTCATCTTGTAAAATCAAAAAATCTTCATCAGATTTGATGATGCTAATGATTTTGCTCTCATTTGCATACAATTTGATGTGCAATGTTGTTTGGAAGATTGTTGATAAAAAGGACAAATAATAATGGTCCTAAAACAGATCCTTGTGGAACTCCACATGAAACAAGTACCCAATTTGATATTGATTATATACGTTGTATATATATATGTTGTGTGTGTGTGTGTGTGTATATATATATATATATATATATATATATATATATATATATATATATATATATATATATATATATATATATATATATATATATATACATATATATATATATATTAGGGTATATCATACTAGAGCCAAAAATTAAATTTTTAGAATTTTGACATCAATATTTTTACAAAATATTGATGTCTAGCTACCGGGAAACGGGTTTTAAAATTAGGGTTTTTTTTTCAAAAATTAGTCTATTTTAACTAAAGCTTAATTTTGGAAAGGTTTTAGCCAATTAATACTAAAAATTACAATTATATTAGGTAAAAAGTAAACTATGTGAAATAAAACAGATATAATTATTATTTAACTTCCAGGATTCTAGATCCAGAGTGCGTAAAAACTGCTTTTGTGACTAATTTGACTGTTCTCTCTTTGAGTATGTAATGAGTATGGAGGTAGCTGCAGGAGAGAAACTATCAATGCATTGAGTTAGACTAACGACATGTGAATTGGTTCAGTAACAACCTCTTTTTTCCAATCAATAATTTCTTTAATGTCACATGCATCAAGGTTTATTGTTTGTGGAACTTTAAAAGGTCTAACATCATTTGAGCCCAGCTCACTTCCCTTCCTAACAACCAATATTGTGTCGACTGCAAATAACCTTTGTTCTGAGTTATCAGAACAGAGAAGCGAGACAAGTATATTCTCAAGATGAGCCCACCAAGATTCATTTCTGAGATAAAGTTTAGATGCTTCTTTAATCCTATCATCTTGCTTTTGCCAAAATCGAAACAGCTTTAAAAGATGACAAGAACCGTATTTAATGTCATGCTTTACTTTAATCTCAAAGAACATTGGAAGATAAACCTGAGTCACCCAAGTTGCAAGCAGTCTTAAGATCTCTGCATTAACAGGTTCAAGATCATGCTTACTCATATAGAGAAGCAAGCATCTCATGCCACAAGTAAGCCATCGACTGTGAGACAATCTACCACATTTAAGAGCTTCTACTTCAGGATCAAGCTTTCCTTTCAGAATTGCATTCAAGTACTTCCATGCAACTAAGCTGTCAATGCTCATTTGCTTTAAGAAATCTTCACTGATATTAACAAGAGGCTCCAGAAGCGAAATAGGAGTAAATTGAGTAATTCTTTCAAGATTATCAACTTTGGAAAATAGTTTACCAACTGCTCCGCACCATCCTTTATCTGAAGAAGTTGGTCCATCAAGTTTTTTAACAATATGACAGAATGAAAGCTCATTAATGCGAAGCCAGCAAAAAGATCTAAAAATTTTTCGATTGAGAAGTTCTTCCACAAAATGAATCATTCCCCCTTTCCATCCAGACATTTCATTTGTAGTATCACTGCCAATTAGTTGGATATTAAGATCTTTACCTCTTTCCATTAACCAGTTGAATAATCCAATAGCACATTGCTTAGCTGGTTTAGATGTTTCTGACTTAGGCTTTGGTGTATAATGAGTAAGGTAACGACCTCTAGGTTCTTCTGTCACAGTTATATGATTTTCTTTGATAATTTTTTTTCTGAAGGTGCCTGTGGTTTTATCATGGATAAGAATTAAAGTTTTGTCTTTTTTACCATCAACAAAAATTCCAGTGATTATATTTCTTTCACAGTTAAAATTTTCTTCTATTCTGGAATACTTCATAGCACGCTCTTTGGCACGAAAAACTTTCATGCTATCACATATAAGATTTTTTTTATCTTCAACAAGTTTCCCTGCTTTCATAATATCTTTCAGCAGACCATTAATGATTGCAGCAGTAGCAGTCGATGATACACTAAATCTAACAGAAGCAACAGCAGCATTACTAATATCAAGGTAGTTTCGCTTAACATAATTATCTTGCTTTTCTATGGTCGAGTCCTCTTTGCTATTACTGACTATATCACTATCACTAGCTTTATCGATATCACTGACTTCTTCACTATCACTGACTATCACATCATTTGAATTATTATGCATTTCTATTGTAGCATCCACTTTTTCAACATCAAATCTAACAGCCGGTGAATAAAATGTTTCTAATGACTCTAACTTAGATTTTGAAGCTTCTTCTCGTTGTTGTGCGAGTCTTGCTTGATCGATTGACTTGCGTAAGTGTTTTAACCTAAGTTTGGCAGTCTCTTTAACATCCAAACTAAATTCTTGCATAGATGAAATACTGCCTTGCTTTTCTCGCTGGTTTTTTATCCAAATAAGCTCTTTTTGAGGAATTCTTAAATTTAAGTCACATTTGCAAAGGCAATGAGCACCGCTATCACAAGATTCTTTGCAAGGGGGATCATTCTCACTGCAGTAAACAATTCTGCATTTGCAAAGAGCAATATCTAAAAGTTTATCAAGCTTAGGCTCCCAGTGTTTTATGTAAAATTTTTGAGATTTGTTTCGAGCTATCTTAGAGAATGCAGACCAACTTCTACTGAGTCTTAGTGTTATTCCTTTTGTTCCACAAACTATGGGTTCTTTAAATTCTATGTTGGAAATAAGCCATCGTTCTGCAACCTCATAAGCAACATTAGAAAAAATTTCTTGCATTGATAAATTACGCTGATTTTTTTCATAGACTAGTATTCTGTCTCGCTGCAGATCCAGACAACGCTGTAAACAGTCACGTAAGGGTGGAAATTCAGTTTGGAGGAACTTTCTAGGACCTCCAAGATACTCACTTAGTTTGGTGTTAACCGATTTTCTGGTTTTCTTGCTAACTAATAACGTCATTTTTCTTTTTTTAATATATTATGAGTCTGAAAGATATAAAGGCAGCAATAACAGCAATTAGTTTGAAATTAAATTTAAATAGTAATTATAATATTTATAAGGTATATTTGTATATTAACTGATACTTATACATAAAATAATTTAAAAAAAAACTCAAAACATATCAAAATTAAGCATAGGGCTAAACAGTATTTTAAATAATTATTATGTACATTTATAGCATAAATAGCCATCAGTTAGAAAAAAACACAATATTATTGGAAAATTAAAAACGTTTTCCCGGTAGCAAGACTTGTTTTTTCACTAAAAAAAATTATACCATTCAACTCAGGGTATATGAATACATAGGAAAAGTGATGTACTGAATGAAATTCATAACATGCAAAAGTATGATATACCCTAATATATATATATATATATATATATATATATATATATATATATATATATATATATATATATATATATATATATATATATATATATATATTAGGGTGGGTCATAAATTTTTTTTTTCTTGTTACAGGCTCTAAACATTGCTAATAGTTATTAATATTGATACTATCAAATATGAGAATGATTGTGATAGGTTTAAAGGGAAAGCAACTTTATTGGGAAAATTACCAGTACCCTAATATTTTGGAGAAAAAAAGTTTTTCATAAAATTTTATATTTATTAAAATTTTATAAAAAATTCGAAAATAATAATTGTTTTATGAAAATCATATTGGTCGAAAAAAATTGTTATTAAAAAACATGTAAAAATGCACCTTTTTCACTTTTAGTTAAAAAACTATAGTTATTATGCAATAAAATCTAAAATAATAATTTTTACATGAAAAAATTATTATTTTTGAAATTTTTATAAAATTTTGCTTTATTTGAGTACCTCACATCACTGAAAAACTTTTTTTTTGAATCATAATACGGCCTGCTAATTTTTGTAATTATAGTTGCGAGTGGAAGACATTGTTCAATCCATCAAAGTAAATACTTTCCTTAATTAGTACATAAAAAAACAACTTTCTAGACCATAGCTAGGTTAGCAACTCTAAAAAAAATTTTATGACCTACAATAATATATATATATATATATATATATATATATATATATATATATATATATATATATATATATATATATATATATATATATATTTATGTATGTATGTATGCATGTATGTATGTATGTATGTATGTATGTATGTATGTATGTATGTATGTATGTATGTATGTATGTATGTATGTATGTATGTATGTATGTATGTATGTATGTATGTATATATATATATCATAATCAATCGTATACATAACATAAATCAAGGACTATCAACAGTTAACAATGTGTTGAAAAATTGCAAATGCTGTTATGTTGTAAAAATAATAACACATTAGCAATTCGTTGTTGTAAACAAGCATGTTGTATTTGTGTTGTAATTCATTTTGTAAATATAGCAACACAGAGGCATAAAAGATATAACAACCTGTTTTTTTTAAATAATTAGGAATATACCTCTTTAAGTTTTTAAACCATTGACAACAGTAAAGTTTACCTTAGAACTGTTAACAGTCCCATATTAGAGTTCATTCATAGCTATCTGTTCCATAGTACTCTTACTATCTCTTACATTGATAATAGTTTTAACAATAAAAATAAATATTTAAATTATTTAAGCATATGTAGTATTGCTCTGTTAAAGTATCAAAGTATTATTTTTAATATATATAGAAAAAAAAAACATGATAATAATCAAACATATATTTAGATAATAATTTTTATTTTATATAATTTATCTAATTGTTATACACTCAGCGAATTTCTATAGTTCCATTTACAACTTGCACTTATAAATGAATTCACAAAGTATTTGGATTTTTTAAATTGTTTTTTAAAAGAAATTATCATGATTAATTAAATAAGAAAATAACAATCTGATAGAAAATAATTATTAATTTATTTAGTAAAACTTAAAAGTAAATAATATTTTAAAAAACGTAAAATTTCTATTGTTCTATTAAAAGTAAACCTTAGTTTTTAGATAAAACTATATTATTCTTAATTCCTAACCTGAATGCTGATCCCAATTCCAAAGGCTGTGTTCTAAATAATAATTTTTAATGTGTACTACCACCTTTTACACTATTTAATGCGGTAGTGGTGTAGTGGTAAGAGCGCTTGCTTTGTAAGCGAGAGGTTCGGAGTTCGACTCCCACCACGTCCCTGGAAGTACCGCGCTCAACTTAATTTTTCCGCGCAGCGGCACTTAATGTCGTTTTTAATTGCTACACTATCTTGTTGAAAAATCTAATTCTCATTAGGTAAACCTTCACTAAACTTGATTAAAACATCTGCTAAAAGATTTCAGTGATTTCTTGCATTCATTTTTGTTGTAATAAAAAATATTGGAATTTTGCTATGGAAACAAAATGCAGCACACACCATAACTGTCCCACGTCCAAAGTTACGACTCATAATAATGCTATATTTTTTTTGTAAAATCATGCCAATAGAACTTAAAACCATCAGACCCATTTAAGTGTCCCATGTCATGTGATCTTGGCAAACTTAAATCATTTTTTAAATCATTGTCCTGATTTTGGCAAAATTTTTTAGACATGTCTTGTGGTCAAAGGCAATTCCAATTCAGTCTATTTTGCCAAAGGCATAATGGAAGTATGTTGACTTCTGTTTATTTTTTTTATTTCTGCCCTTAGGGTGATTTTTGTTCTAATTTTCACCAAAGTTTTTAAATTCAATTGGCTGCATGAAAAGACCTTTGAATTTACTTGCACTTTGTCGATTGGGCAAACTTTTTAATCAACAATTTTAGCTTGTTCTTCCTCATTTAACACCCTTCCGTGGTTACGCATTGTTATAATTAAATACAAATGTTAATTAAAATTACACTAAACTTTCATATAGAACAAACAACTCTTATTAAGTGTTTAAAACAAATTGATGGAACTATGGAAATTTCGCCTGACTATATATACAGATTTTAAAAAATATTGTAATAAATAGTGTAATATATTTGTTACACTTAAGATTTACTGAAAATAATACTAAAAAAAAGATGTAAAAACCTTTTTTTAATGCCATGACAAAATTTCAATTAAAAAAAAAAAACTTAAATCAAACTCCAGTTTGAAATATGACATGCATATTTCTCAAGAAACAATAAATCAAACGTTTATAAACTCAAATGTGTTAACTGTGACGTGTGATGCATAAGATAATCTAAAACTTGCTCATAAAATTTTTCAAAGTCATTGAACATTTTAAAGGAGATATAGATCAAATTGAAATTAAATTTAAAAAAACAACAACTATTAAATGTCTTCAGTTTTACCAGCACTCTTTTCACCTCCTCATCAGCTTATTTTACACCTCCTTACCAGCTCCATTTTCACGCCTAATTTTTTACTAAACATTTGATTTTTAAAATTAATTTTTTTTTTAAAGTAAAGAATTTTTGTTATTATTGCCATTTAAAATGTTATTTTTATACTTTAACTAATAAACTGACCTTGCTAAATCTTGAAGTGGACTTTTGGCTTTATTTTTTGTAAAACATTGAAGTATCATCATTAAACTTTCTTCATTAAGCTCAGTTTCAAAACCATCCCTTTAATAATAAAGTGGTAAAAAAAAGGTAAATAATAAAAAGGTAAAAAAAACAACAATAAACAATTGGTACACAAGAAAAAACAACAATAAACAATTGGTACACAAGGTACACAAGAAAAGATCTAAACACAACACAACTAAAAACTTATTATTAAACTTTAAATAATAATGGAAAAGGATAATATTCTGCAAAAATCAGGATATAAATAACTCTACTGACTTGGCTAAAACAAGCAAGCAATATATATATATATATATATATATATATATATATATATATATATATATATATATATATATATATATATATATATATATATATATATATATATATATACATATATATATATATATATATATATACAGAGCCGGATTTACAGTTTTAGGGGCCCTAGGCCAAAAAAAACCTGCGATTATTCATGCTAATGAACAAAATGTTTAAAAATGCTTTTTGTTTAACTTTTGTCTAAAAATATTTTATTTTTTTTAATCACGAAAGTAGAAAAATAAAAATGTAAAAATTAAAATTTATGCACTTTCCAAAAATTAAAATTTAATTTTGTTGCAATTCGATTTTGAAGCCCCTTTTTTTTCGGGGTCCCTAGGCCATGGCCTATTTGGCCTGCCTGTAAATCCGGCTCTGTATATATATATATATATATATATATATATATATATATATATATATATATATATATATATATATATATATATATATATATATATATATATATATATATATATATATATATATTATTTAATTTTATTTAGGTGCCCCAAGAAGTCCTTATGGTCTTATCACAGAGCACAGCGAATGAGCATTTATCAGAAGTTGCTATTGTTTCGCAGTGGAAGCTATTACAGTTCCACCACTTGTTGTAAACATCAAGCGTCAAAGTCTTAAGAGAATGAAGAAATATTTTATATGAGTACAAGAGAGTGTTAGTTAATTTATAATATTTGGACAAATGTCCAGTATTGAAGGGTGGTATTAAAGAGGGGAGTATTATTCAGTGATTGAATTAGAGTTATGTAAGTGTTTTTTAAGTTACCATTGAGTAAGTTGAGTAAGCGTTGTTATAGTGTTCCGTGTGTTGTGTTAGTAATTGTGTTTTGTGTCTTGCGTTTGCAGTATTTAAAATGTTGGAGTATAATATGTTATTTAGTGTCTTTATTTCTATGTAACTGTGTGCTCACAAATACTTTGGTTCTCCATTTGCTATTGTTTTGCAGTGGAAGCTATTAAAGTTCCACCACTTATATGGAACCATCAGGCAGTAATAGTCTTAAGAGAAGGAAGAAATATTTTATATTAGTGCAAGGAAGTGCTAAACAAATTATAATATGCAGACAGATGTCCAGTATTGAGAAACAGTTTTTGAAAGGGGAGTAATACTCAGTGATTAAGTTAGAGATAAGTGTGAGTTAATTAAGTTAGTAATAAGTTAATAAGTCATTAAGTTTGAGTTAAGTGAGTGTTGTTTATGTTAGATTTATGTAAGTGTTGTTTTAGTGTTCTGTAAATTGTGTTAGTTATTGTGTTTTGTGTTTGCACTGTTCTAAATGTTAAAGTTTTATATGTCATTTAATGTCTTTATTTGTATGAATTTGTGTGTTCATAAATAATTTGATTCTAAGTCTTATTCCGAAGTTATCATGTTCTCTTTACATATAAGTTTCGCAATTACAATAAGTAAGTAAAGTTACTAGTGGAACATATTTAGCCGTAAATGCCTGAGAGAAAAGATGTGATTTAATATATTTGATATTGTTTTTGTTTTTACTTAATTACAGTTTTGTTTAACTTAGTACAGATTCAATTATAAATCATATCATTTAGTGGAGTTGATCATTTCAGTGAATTTGTTTTATGAAAACATGCACCCTTATAGTGGAAATATTCGTTTTACATTTAGTTTATATTCTCAAAGAGCGACAAACACAATAAGTCTGTTTATTTTCATGCAACCTGAACCCCTTCAACCTCAGATAAAAAATAGGAAACATCTAATTAAACCTATAATAATTTTTAAGATAAATATACAAAAACATTTTACAAAAATCAAAACATTTAGGAACAATTGCCATCAATGTGGTAAGCATAATGTGATAAAGCAATTAACATAATATAACAAAATTACTCAATTCATTAGACATAAAGTACAACTATAAAGTAGAAGTATTACAACAAACAACAAAAACAAACATATATTATAAAAGGGAAGCGCGCCCATAATTATTTAAAGAAAGAAAATAAAAATATACCATTAAAACAAAATTGAAAATTATGTAGTATAATACCAGATTCTCATCAGGAAATGGATATATTATTGACACTTATAAGGATCAAACTTGCACTTGCTCACAGTTTGTATGATAAATAATCAAGACCTTATCATAAATATTATCATTGACAAGGAAAAACTTTAATAATAATTTAAGGCTTTTGGAACCAATACAGTATAATATGTACCAGTATAATAAATAAGTTTTAGGTAAATAATAAATAATTTTTAAAAAATTTAATTTTTTAAAGCTAGTAAACAAGTAAAGTAAACATAAACAAAAACAAAAAAACAGTATATTAAAAATGTTTTGTTAAAAATAGTAAACAATAATGCTGACCATTGCAAAACAATATGCAGACAGTCAAAAAGCAGCTGATATATCATCTGCATCTGTCTAGTATCTAGAGATTTCATTTCTTTAGAATCTATAACACCATCATTATCTGATAGAATTTTCTAAAAAAAAAAAATTACAAAAAAGTTTTTTTTACACTTTTATTATTTTACTAACTTATTTACTCCTTACATTGATAAAAAAAAAAAACAACAACTAAATAATATTACTAAATAAATACCTCAAAATAATTATAACAATTATTAAAAATAATAAACAATGAAGGTTGCAGCTTCATATAAAACTTCATGACATTTGTGGCACATGGTAAATTTGAAAACCCAACTAACTTTGTGATGGATTGCTAAAAACAAGTAAAGTATTCAAACATCCCCAATGTTCCTAATGTTAAATATAATTTGTACAAAATATAAAAATTCGATTGTAAAAGTCACAACATACTTTCAATTTAATTTTTTTTTGTATTCTTAATCTTTTATTTTCTACTTAAATACCAATGTTATAAATTCAGAAAAATAACTTTAATGAACCTTTAAAAATAAACTTCGATTATTAGATTGTAAAGCATGTTCAAGCTTCATTCGAAAATCTTTCAACAAAAAAATTATTTCATTTGAGGAAAGGACTTCCTAAAACACATTTAAAAAAAGTATAAGTAAATAATAATAATAAAAAGAAAAAAATTACTAAATAAAATTTATGTAAAAAAATATTTTTTAAATATTAACAAAACTTATAAACAACAAAAGCTTTAAAAAACATATTTGCTTATGTTAAAATTTTAAATTTAGTAGAGTTTTTTTAATTGAATCCAATTTTAACAACTTTTAAATCAAAAACCAAATGAAAACATGAATGAAGACAATGATAAATATTAATTAACTAATTAATACCTTACCTTCTGGTTATCTTTTTTCATTTTATTTGCAACACACTGTAAAACATTTTTATATGTTAGAATATAAAATATATCTAAATCCAAAGGCCTAAAAAAATAAAGCATTACTAAATTATTTATCTAAATAAATAAAATGCTATGACAATAATTTTTCGAGAACTTAAATACAGGAGGCTGAATAAGCGCGAATTTCATAAGTGTGAACTGGCAAATGTGCAAATCAGTTTTTGTAAAAAGAATTTGTAAACATAAGTACGAATTAGTATAAGTGCAAAGCAGTTGCAAAAACTGGCTTAAGTGCGAATTGGCATAAATGCGCTGAATAAAAATGCAAATATTAACATAAGTGCAAATTGGTATTTCACACTTATGCCAATTCGCACTCATGCCAGTTTGCACTTATGCCAATGTTTTCAAATTTATTCAGCACACTTATGCCAGTTTTTGTAACTGTTTCACACTTATGACAGTTCTCATTTATACCAAATCGGACTTATGCCAGTTTGCACTTATGCCAGTTCGCACTTATAAAATTTGCGCTTAGTCGGGCCCTTGAATAGAATTATAAAAATCATAGTAACTAATTAGCACCCTTAATACACCTTTAATACACACCTTTCTTATGGAATCTACTTCTAAGGCAGAAATTACCCATTTTTTTTATCCTTCACTAATAGTTTTATACATATGCAACATAAGTATCAGTTTTTTTTTATTTTAAAAATTAATTTCTTTAATTAACTTACAGTGTCTCAAAAAATTATCAGACCAAACATTTTTAAAAATTTTTTTCCAAAAAAAAGTGCTGTATTTTCGTAAATTTTGACTTTTTTGATAAACTCAAGATTAATAAAAATAAATCATTTTTAAATAGATTTTATTTATTTTAGAGTAAAATATGAATCACAAAGTTTTCAGTCTTAAAATAAAGGAACTTAAATTGTATTTTTATTCTCAAAAAAATATTCAACCAAACACATTTTTTGTTTCATAATAAATTATTAAATAACAAAACAATTATTTTAATACTTTGTAGGGCTTCCCTTTGCTTGGATTTCAACTTCTAGACGTCTAGGCATTGATTTGACTAAAGATTTTGCTTCTTCTGGTTGAATCTTTTCCCAGGCTTCTTCAATTGCCACTTTGAGGTTATCTTTTTTGGAAAATGATTAATCTCAAATTTTTCGGTCTAAAATTTTCCACAAATTTTCAATGGGATTAAGGTCCGGTGATTGTGCAAGCCATTCCAAGACTTCAACATTATTTTCAGAAAATCACTCCTGGGTTTTAGTGGCACTATCCTTGGAATCGTTATCTTGCTGAAATGTAAAATCAGATCCTAGCCAATGTTTTCGAGCAGATGACTTTAAATTTTGCTTTAATATGTTTCTGTATTGCACCTGATCCATTATAGTATCAATAAATTGGAGTTTTCTGACACCCTTCCGAGCCATTGAACCCCATACCATCACGTTACCGCCACCATATTTAACAGTTCCTCTCACGCAGCTTAATTTGTAGGCTATTCTCCAAAATTTTTGGGCTCCATCAAATGACTTTAAGTTGAATTTCGATTCAGCTCTCCACAGCATCTTTTTCCAGAAATTTGATGACATGTTATTGAACTTCTTAGCAAACTCCAATCTTCATTTCATGTGTTTCTTACTCAAATATGGTTAATTACGCACAAGTTGTCCTTGAAATCCCTGGTCTCGGGTACGATTTCTGATTTTCTGATGCGATAATTTGATTCCATAATTCTCTTTAGCTTGCTCAGCCAGTTTTTGAGCAGAAATGAAGCAATTTTTCTTGACTTGTATAATTAAGTTTCTATCAAAACGCTTAGAAGTCTTTTTTTTTTTGCAACCCTATCCCTTCTTTGCAGCTGTTGTTCCAATCAAATTAACTTCTTCATAATATCGGTTACTGTATTATGAGTAATTCCAGTCTCTTGATGCACCTGATGATAGATTTTACCCTGTTTGACTAGATCGACAGCTAAATTTCTTTGAGAAACAGTCCAGTGACGTTTACCTCCAACCATTTTACTTTACAAAAACATGAAACCTTTTTATATACAAATTTTTTTTTTTTACATTAAAAAACAGTTTTTTGTTATGCAATTTCATTAATTGTATAGAAATTTGATAAAATACTAAAATACTAAACTTACATAAATATCGCTTGGTCAATATTTATGTAAGTATTATTTTTTTACAAGCCTTTTCAATACTAAGTTTCTTTTAGCACAAATAATAAACCAACTGAAGCACGAATCAAAAAATATGAATGCTAAATAACATACTATTCCAAATAAAATCAAAATGACAGACAAAGTAAGTATCGCTATTCATTGTTTTTAGTATAATTTAGAGTGTAAATTTTTTTTTTGGGAAAAACTTGTTTGGTCGGATAGTTTTTTGAGACACTGTATATAAAATTGAAATTTATTTAAATTTGTAATTAAACTTACTTTAAAATGTTTTCAAAATATGTCTATATAATGTACAAGATTAGATATGTTGTTATACGCAAAAAATTCAAAATATATTTAAAAGTTGATTAAAAATTTATGTAAAATCAAAGCATTGCTAACCTCAAAGATGCTGGAAAGTTTGATAACAATATTGACTGGTTGATTGAATCTTTTTCTATATTTTCAAAAAGTTTATCTTCCTAAATATAAAAAAATGAAAATTTTTATTTTTTAATTTTAAATTGCTTTGATAGTTTTGAAATATTGGAATATTAGAATATATAATTTCTTTTTCAGTCCAAAAAATCTGAAGGATTTCAGGTCATTAAAAAAGTGCCTTACTTAGCTCACATCAGGTTGGCAAAATTTTTATTTTTTGCATTTTTATTGCTTTTTTATTTTTTGCATACTGTTACGATTGCACAGTGATCGGAAATAATTGAAAAGTGGTGAAATTCCAGATTTCTAAGATTTATGTCAAAATTTCAGATTATGTAAAATTATTGCATATTTTTTAGACCACCAGACGCTTCTCCCCAGCTACTCAAAGTAGTCATTTTTAGAAGAAAATTTGTTTAGTAAAAAAGCAATCATTTTAAATTTTTTTATTTTATTTCTCAAGCCACACCTGTGAACATGAAAGTTTTGAAACTGCAAAATTCGAAAAAACATGGAAAATCAAAACGCTGTTTTCATTTAATATTAACAGTTTTAAGTTATTTTAATTAAATAAATTTATATCAATTCCATATATCAATATATAAAAGTCGACATATTGCATATAAAGAAGTCGATATATAAATGTATGGAAGTCAGTATATGCGATATATCAAACTCTCTATCCGTTCCAACTGGCAAAATGGAATTTGACATCCAACATTGACAGCATTTATGTTATTTAATTTGTTATCATTATTTTTTTGATTTTTTTTTTCTACCGGAAGTAGTAGATCATAAATAAGTTATTCCTATAAAATCCTCTCAAACTCAATAAGCCACAAATCTCATCTACACATTTAGTATTACTACCTAAATCACATTTTTTATCTTTTTATCTTAAATTCATTCATCTTAGCACATTTGTTACATTGAAAGTTTATTCTTAAGTCTTTATGACTCCAAAATAATCTTGCACTTCATGGAGGAGTGCTCTAAGAAAAACTTAAAGTCAAAAGAACTGCAGAACTATTATGTCATGCTTTACAAACTTTTTTACAACTCAGTCGGAAAAATATTAACACTGCCTTTCTGCTTTTAAATCAAAATTTTAATGTTTGAAAACAATATCCTTAGCTTTGATTCACTTAATGTATCACAAACTGAAGATTGAATTGAAAACAAAGATAATTGAAATCAATGAAATAATTACTTTCAATAAAGAATAATTATTTGTACAAATTCTGTATAATAGTTGATCTTTAGAAAGCCTTTGATACAGTTGATCATTCCATTCTAATCAGAAAGTTGGAGTATTACAGTGTCAGAGGCACAATACTCCAATAGTTTTCTTCTTATATTCAAAATAGAACACAATTTGTTACTATTAATGGGATAGAATTAAAAAAATCATCAAATTATGTCCCAAAAGGCTCTGTATTAGGACCATTGCTTTTCCTTCTCTTTATTTATGATCTTAATACCTCTCTTGAGTTTTCCACTACTTACCACTTGGTTGATGACACTAATCTGCTTTTAATAAAAAATCACTTAAAAAGATAAACAAAAATATTAAACATGACTAATCTACTCCAGCGACTTCTATCTAATAAATTATCACTTAATTCCAAAAACACTGAAATTATTATCTTTAAATCAAGTCAAACAAAAATAAAAAAACACCTGAATTTCAGTGGTCAAAAAAAAGATCCTGAGAATTTTGTCACATGTCTTGGTATCAAAATTGATTCCAATTCAAGTTTTGCATCCAATCTTCAAGACTTAGCACTGAAACTAAGCAGGTCCTATGGTATGTTGGCCAAAACTCAACATTATCTTAATCTTGAAATGCTACTTGACATATATCATGTTGTTTTTGAATCTCATCTTAGATATGCTTGTCAAATATGGGGAGAAACCCAATCTCTAACACTTAAAAGACTCACCTCCAAAATAAAACCCTAAAAATAATCTTTTTTTCAGCATTTTAACTCTGATCATAACTCTACTACATATCGAAGATACTTAAATTAAAAGATCTTATTCAACATTCCAACTGTTTATTTGTTTGGAAACAGCAACATCAAACCTTTCCTCCTCCTATTGTTTTTGAGATGTATGCGGTAGTGGTGTAGTGGTAGAGCGCTTGCTTCATAAGCGAGAGGTTCCGAGTTCAATCCACACCACGTCCCTAATAGAACCGCATTTAACTCATTTCTCCGCGCAGCGGCCTTGTTTGTCAAGGTTCGCGTTTTGGAATTATAGAGTTGAGAAAGGGTTATAACTACAAATAAGCAGCCTCCTCGTCTGTAGTGGCCTTCTCGGCCTTGAGGAGGTGAATTCACACACAAAAAAAATAAAAATACTGATTTTTTTACTTATAAAAAAAATACTTGTTACCAACTTCGATCAGCTAAAAGCTTCAAATTATCTATACCTAAATATAGAACTATTTGTTATGGATATGAATCGATTAAATATCAGAGCATATGCACATGGAATAGTCTCCCCTCACAGTTAAAACCTCTCTCTAACTTTTCAAAATTCAAAAAGTCTATTTAATTTTTTATTAAACAAGTATTCTTCCTAATTTCTGTGCTACTCTACTGCTAACTATCTACTATCCATCTTAACTTTATTTGGTTCAATGGTGGTTTATAGATACTAATACTTGATCTTTTTTATAATTCTTTTCTACTACTTTCTTCATTTCAATGCTGATTTATTACTACTAATACTTGCTCTTTCTTGACTTTTTTTCAAATTAATATTATTTTTATATCACTATTCTATTTCAAACTATCACTATTATAAATATTGCTATTTTTATTATTATTATTATTATTGTTATTATTGTTATTATTATTACTATTAATATTATTGTTATTATTATTATTACTGTATATTATTATAATCTACTTCTCTTTTTTATTGCTATATTTTAATTAGGTATGTAAAAGTCTTATATTATATTATTAAGTCTTATATTCTAGATAGATGTATAAAAGTGAACAGAATTTTCTCTTAAATTTATCAAACTTCTTATTTATCTATTATTCCATAAAGTTTTTCATTTAAGTATTGTACTGTTTTACGTTTTTGTTTTTTTCAGTTTCTCATTATGGTGTTTACATAAAATTAGTACTATATGTAAATATTCCATTAAATGTAAAATAGATTTTACATTAGGCCTCAGTAGGACATCTGAAAATTTTGATCATTATCATTAGGGTAAATTTAGGTTATTTAGAGTAAGATTCTTCATATAAAATTCCCTGTTTTTTTTCCTGATTTTTTTTTTAAATTAGATGATTTTTTCCTGACCATTTTTTACACCAAATAATGTTTATAAAAACCTTCATTGAAACTAGACTCTCTTTCAACCAATACCTATCCATGACTGAAAAGCCAAAACTAATACAATAACAGATGCCAACTCAGGATACTTTATTGTTTTGACGCCTGAAATTGAAATGTGTATACACTAAATTTTATATACTTTAAAACAAACCTTTGGTCTCCCTATGATCAGCAATTATTAAAATAGATGGTTCAATACTGGTTAATCTTTCTGCTCCCTCTTTGTATCAAATACAAAATGAAAATAGAAATTCAAAATTTTTAGTATTACTTACAAAGTTACTACTTCTAGCAGGAGAATTGTGGTATAAGATAAAGCAGCTTTAGGACATCTACGTAATAGAGCAATCAGTTGGTTCAATTTGTTTTAAAACAAACATTAATTTTGATGATGGAACACAAAACTCGTGGTACTTTCATTAAAATGATAAAATCATGACTGATATCATATCCATTCAGAGATTTTTGTTGAGGAAGAATGCAACAAGCCAAGTTATTCAGTTATAAATTAGTTGTTCTTTAAATAAAGCTTTAAAATTTCAAGAAAAACATGAATTCAAATTTTTAGGAGAAAGTTTTTGTAAGCATTTTTTGAAACTAATAATAATTTTTCATAAATTTTCAAAAATTTATTCATTGATTTTTGTAGGCATCTAAATTATTTTGTAAAAAAGTCAACTTTGATTTTTTTTTATCTTAAGTTGATTTGCAAAACTTGAAAGTAGATTTTTTTATTTGCAATTTTTTAGTGCTTGGATACTAATATTAAAAATTTAATTTCTTTAAAGTTTAATTACTTTAAATTTCAATTCTAAAAACAACAATTCTATTTGATAAAATATTATAAAGTAGATAATATATAATGCTATATATAAGAGATTTTTGTATAACAAAACAATTTATTTCAAAAATAGCTATACCAATCATAGAGCATAAAGATTAAATGAGTAGTAACCTCAAAAAAAACAACGCTAAATTTATTTTTCAAAAAGTAGAAGAGATCTTCAGTTTTTTAGGATGACAATTTTCATTAAACTAAATGAGCTCTATAGATTTTTTATTTAACTCTGCGAGGAAAAATTTAGATCATTTTTGTTTTCTTCAATTGTGAAATTTAGCGTTGAGTAATTTATGGACGATCCCTTATTTTAAAGTTTAGATAAAGGATAAGCCAAAAAGTATATAAAGCCAAAAAAAATTGAGTATAATACTATTTTAATGGTTATCTAAAGTGTGTTGTCGTTGCACACTCGGTTTTGTATGTTTAACTGGGGCATGAATTAATAGCTGTATAACTCTAAATTTCAATATTAATATTAAATATAAAAGTTATACTTTAACTTTTAATTATTTTTAAAAGTAATCAGTTTAATAAAATGGTTTCATTTAAATATAAAATTAGAATTTTTTGAATTATGTTTTTATAAAATACATACTTTTTTAACCCCCGTACTGTTTAAAAAACTTAAGGTCGCCGTGTGGCAAGTTCAAATCATCAGCTTGCTTTATTTTTAATTTTTGTTGTCGTGACTCGTATTCCAAACCAACCTTTTCTATAGAACTTTTCTATAGAAGGTAGAAAAATAACTATAAGAAAACTTTATTCATTGTTTTTATTTTTGAGCCACAAAAAAAAAATCTATTCTAAATAATTTAAAAAAATATGAGATGATTTATCTCATAT